GACCGTCTTGTTTGCTCATTTTCTTGCTTCCCCCTCCCCCCCATCTAACTTTGTACGGCTTTTTTTACGCCATTACGCTTGGGTTGAAGTTTACTTAATGTGTTACCCGGATGATGGTCCCGTGTAGCCAGTTGTCCGGGTATTTTACACGGGAAATCCGTGGTGCCTGCGTGAGCACATCAGCAACAGCAAAAGACCAAAACAGTCCCATCAACATGGCAGAGAACGGGTACAGGGTCCTTAAGAAATATTGAGCAACTAGAAATTAACATAAGCATATCATACACCTGATTTGCACAAATCGTAAGGAACACATTTTAAAATCTATGATGCTTTGATCATGACAATTAACATGCCTGACGGCATTTTTAACACGAGGATGTGTACGCAGGCCAGCAAAGTAATCGCAAGACATTTGACATGACCATCACAAGTTTATTTGATTCAGAAATTAATATATATAAAAACGACAATCTCGTTATATAAAATGCACGTTTTCCCTAAGCTCACTGTGCCACGCTTTCTACGACACATTTCCTAGATCCAACTCTCATCGCAAACAGCCAACAACGAAAATAACCCGGTAAGCAGTTTCATCACAACACTACAATATATATAAACATGTTTTGTGTAATGCACGGCAACAACGTCTTATAATTGAGAAATGTATCGCTAATATACTTTACAAGTAGGCAATTGTAGAACACAGAATACAATGACAACGATGAAAAGGGAACACATGGCAGACACTGCATTGCTTGCACGGTATTCCGGTCTTTGACAACAGCGCGGCTGCAGCGACGTATCCATTTAAGTCATCGGTGTTGGTCAATTCCCTTGGCAATCTCCCCAGAGGGCTTTCACGTTGGTCAGGCCTTCTTGCTTTCTCAGTTGTTACACAACGCTCAAATTCACAGAACAACAACAAAAAAGGTTCCCTCCGGAGGGCGGTCAGGGTTAGAACCTCGCGAAGGTCGACGTGTGCTTACACAGCAGGTGGCTAAATGCGAGGAACTTGACATTTGAAGTTCACTTGGGTTAAGGCTACAAAAGCATTATTAGAGTGTCCGAGTTAAAAAAAAGTAATAACTGTAACTTTTCTATGGGGACCTCATTTGCCAGTAAAAATATGATAATTGGTTCTTTACCCTTCTATCTGGCAACAAAACTGACACCTTTTTGCAAGGAGTCATGTTTGCATGGACCGCAATTGTATTATGACTGCAGGTATTGCGGTCTATGCAAACATGACTCCTTGCAAAAAGGTGTCAGTTTTGTTGCCAGATAGAAGGGTAAAGAACCAATTATCAACTGTAACTTTTATTTAGATTTAAAGCTTTCGTGACTGCAGGGATTCATCGTCTTGGTTCTTTCGGTAAAGTCACGTAGAAGGGAAATAATAAAATAATATAAATGTTTTATTTTTATTATTTTATTATTTCCCTTCTACGTGACTTTACCGAAAGAACCAAGAAGATGTAACTTTTATATCACTGTACAGTACAGGTATCCCTCGATTTACTAACGCGCACTTTACGAAATTTCGCGTTAGCATGAAATTGACACTTTCAGATGAACGCAATCGAATTTCCGCGTTAACGAAATTTCACGCGGCACGCGCCATGAGATCATCAAACGAAAGGCACCCGGCAGGCTGCGTCATCCATCCGCGATGGCGTCACAGTTACCCTGCAGTGCAACAGTCACGCTTCCACATCACTTTGACAGTCGTTCCCAACACGCAGATCTTTTGGCGAGTTCCAAAGAAACTTTAATCATGTTCGTTTTAAATTATTATTCAATCGATAATCTTCAATCGCTTTCATGAAAATATTTTTTTAGTTTAGCAGTTGATTATTAATGACCGTCCGAAACATATCCATAATTATTAGTGTTCAATTTACGTGAAAAGCCACTCCGGTTAACGAAATTTCATTTTACGTGTGCTTTTGGAGGAACGCATCCCTTTCGTAAATTTAGAGATACCTGCACTCGTAAATTTTGTACATTCCTTGTGCCGATGTTGTTTTGTATAGCTACATACAAGATTTAAGTTGAAAAAAAAAAGATTTGTTGAAGAACAAAATTGCAATGGGATGAGCCCCCTTCTGCCAGCAGTAATGTGAACAGATACTTGCAAGGCTGCACCTCTATCTATACCTGAAATGCCCAATGCAGGGAATTATGTTGCATTTGCAACAAGTGTGCACTCGTTTTGTGGACGAAAGTAATATCTTTTGATTTAAAGCTTTCGTGACTGCAGGGATTCATATTCTTGGTTCTTTCGGTAAAGTCACGTAGAAGGGAAACAATAAAATAAAATAAATAAAAAACAATACAATTCTCACGACGTTTCGACTGCAACACAAGCAATCATCATTAGGTGTGAAAAACACAGCAAGAAAATTAAATTTGTTGAAGAAAATTTCCTTGCTGTTTTTCACACCTGATGATTGCTTGTGTTGCAGTCGAAACGTCGTGAGAATTTTGTTTTATATTTGTATTATTTTATTGTTGCCCTTCTACGTGACTTTACCGAAAGAACCAAGAATATGAAAGTAATATCCTTTACACTGATGAGCATGGGGGTAGAGTGCAAGGAGAGACAGATATTTATCCACCCTTTGGACAGGGTAGGCAAGCTATAAGCTGCCCCCCTCCCCACCCCCCCCAATGAATAACCTTAATGGACTGCTGCAAACATATGGCCACCATCGCTACTTTGCCTTCCAAGTTTCAACATTATTCTCACGAGCCTCTGAAAGTGTTTGGCCATGAGCCAGCAGTTGCTGCACAACCTCCGAGATACGACCCTGCAGATGCCTTTGCTTTCAACAAAAACTAACAGCAAAAACTAACAGCAATAGGACTGCAAACGCAACGCAAGCCGTGACCAAGGGCCATTAAAAATGGCCGTACGTGGCAATAAGCCGGTGGCGTAATCGGCAAGCCAGTGGCATGATCAGCAAGTAACACGTGGCGTAACGCTGACGGAAATGAACTACATATTCAAGATTCAATCCTCCGTTGACGAGTTCCTTTATTCAACACAGCAGTCAGTCCAATCAAGAACTTCACGACTGAAATGCACCGAGTCTGCCACAAGTCTGGCCTCATGCGATATATTTACAAACGACTCTATGTGAGTGTTGTCTTCTACTCTATACCCATAATATGCGCCGGCTAACTCGTAAAACGTACCTTCAAGTTTCAAAACATAAAGTCATGCAGGTTGCAGTCAAGAGGACTACACAGAAGCGGTCAATGCGTACAAGCATATTGAAAACACAGCAAAAAAAGAATAATCAGGTCAGAGTTTGCATTTTCAAGAAATAACACGAATTGCCTTGGCGAATCGCTCAATTGTCATGGAAACCTTTGCACATTGAAAAAAAACACAGATGCAAAGCTAAATTTACTGAAACGTTAATTGAGCTCCTTGTATTACACTCTTATTAAAGCTTCTACGCACACATGTAGGGCCCGATTCGTGTAACTATTTTGGTCTAAAAATTCCGTAATTTGTCGTTCTTCTTTGGCATCCCCAGTCCACAACTGAAGGTTTTTGCTTTTCTGAACTTTCCACCAAATTTCAGAACGGAGACTAAAACATGAAGGTGACATTGAAAATATGAAGGTCGAAGGAAGAACTAAACGGTATGATGGATGCTGTTGCTCCTATTGGTGACATGAACAATGATAATACTTGGATTTCGGCAGCTACAAATTGTGACAATGGCATTGTTGTTACTACTGCTGCTGATCTTGCTTCAAATGTAGATGACTTTGATGGACAGGACGATGATTCAGAAGAGGTAATGCTCCTGTAAGACCCACACCGAGTCCGAAGACTAATTTGCAAGTGTTTGGCACTTGAGTGGAAACTGGAGTTATCAGAGAAAACCTACGCCTGGGAGGGATTACAATGATGTCCACGTAAAAAAATTCAGGAATCCATTTCTCTGCCATCTTCTAGTACCCATATTGCAGCCCAACAGGTTTGAGCATTATAAATACCGCATCAGGCACCCATTTAAGGCTGAGCCGACCTATGAGAGGCTCATGAACAGGTTTTGAAACCACTTGCCACCGATGTGATGTACCATAGCCAATAATACAAGTTGCAGAGTTTGTAGCGCAGTGCAGGGACCACATTCTCACACACTAAGCCACGTATATTTACACACTCGCGTGCAAAGACAAAGATCCCCCGTGTAGCCTCAACAGACTATTGGGAGCAAGGGCTGTTAGCGAGTAACACCTATTAAGGCCGGCACGGCACACGAGGGGGTGGGTGGCCATCACCACGGCCGGCCGCCTTTGTCTCCCCACTGGCGATGTTTACACATCGCACCAGGTACTCATTTGAGGCTGAGTTGACCTAGAAGATACCCCACACCGGTTCAAATAATCGTCGCTGGTGTTGGCCGTGAACAGTAACCGAACCCGGCTCGCTGGGTTCGTAGCGCAGTGCTCTAAACGTTGGCACTACTACTCCCCACGAATGCACATACAATGATTCTCCATGTACTTTATAGGCTGGTCAAAAAAGTCAAAGGGTGGAGAAGAAGAGGTGGGTGGAGGAGAGAAGGCAGGGGAGGGGGTGAGGTGGAAGGGGGGGAGGCTTTGCTCTCTAAACCCGGTGACCACGTTCAAAGTCACGGTTAACAATCAGTGGAGAGTCCTGACTACCCCTTTGCCAACCCACACTCACCAACACTTGCCACACACTTACCAGCCCCACAGTTTTTTTCTCTTTTAGACAACAATATAGCCTGCAAATTCATTCCTTTTCCCCTTTGTATTTTTGTTTGCCCAGGTCTCCTGTCTTAGTAGAGACGAGTTGCCTCAATGGGCTGTCGTCAGGCTCTATACGAAGTAACCGATTGAATGAAAATATTGATCGTTCAATACTCGATAACAGTTAGGCTAGTACAGAAACGAGACAGAAACATCATGCAGAACTTCGTTTAGACAACCTATGCTTCACCAAAGAAACGTTTTGTTTGTATTGTTCGTTTATTTATTAAGACCAGATGACAGTGTAATAATGAATAATGCATGACACAATAGGAACGTACATCTCAGATGCAAATACAGAAATCTCTAGAGAACAACAGAATCGAAGCATAATGTCCTGTACATATATATAAATCATCAGCTCATTCCAATAAACTTTGCAGAGGTGCATTAAATATGACTATTATCACCTTATAAAAAAAAAAAACTGTAACATCGCAGAAGGTAATGTGCACGACATTAAACGTGTAAATAATGGAGTTCTAATCCAGCATGCGTTTTGTCCATAGTTGGAGAGATCGCGTACGGCACCGTATCTTAACCAAGCTGTGAGAAAATTGCACTCTGGTACGACAGACACAGACGCCTATATATGCGCAATAACTAGTTTGTATTAACAATAAAAAGGAATTTTTTTTGCATATTCAATCAAATATCGTAACTGACATTTGTAAATTATACTGCACTTTTAATTCCTTAATACATCCTCACAATTAGTTCAACTGTTTCATCTAAATCCCTAAGTATGATCGTTCCACAATGTATATGCGTAATAATAAACGTCAATGAGGAGGGATTGTAAGTAACAAAACACAAATGTTAGCAAATTGACATTACATTTGAATATTTAATTTAAAAAAATAGAAAATACTGTAAGTATGGCCATGGAAGGTTATATCGTTATGATTCAGATTACCCATAAAACCCCGACAAAAGTAACAATGTTTTAATTCACTTTATTTTTAATCACGACATTCCATTGCAGACACGTTACTTTGCTCAGAAGACCATACGAAAACTTGGCCACTAAAGACATTGTAGGTTGTACTTAACATTCACGATGACAACTCAGTGCCTCTCTCTCTAAAGCTGCACTTGTTTTCCACTGGAATGATGTGTGTCAAGAGGTGGACACTGCTGTTTATTGGGGGAGCGGTGGTGTAGCGGTTAGCGCTACGCTGCTCTACAAACCCGGCGACCCGAGTTCCATTCCCGCTCACGGTCAACACCAGTAACGATTATCTGAGCTGGTCCTGGGCCTCCCCTAGGTTGACTCAGCCTCAAATGAGTACACCTGGTGCAGTGTGTAAACATCGCCACTGGGGAGACGAAGGCGGTCAGGCGTGGTGCTGGCCACCCACCCGTGTGCCGCGCTGGCCTTCATAGGTGCTCGCTAACAGCACTTGCCCCAACAGTTGGTTAAGGCTATAAGGGGGATCTTTGTACTTCTGTTTCGTGCATCTGAACTAGGAATCGGGTTAATCGAAAACTGATAAATTGACCACTGAGCGTATGGTCCGGTTGCTACAACTACTGTTGCGCTGGTCACTCGCAACAGTCCACACCTCCGGAGTAGAGAGGCCTCGATGCCGGATCCAAGGTTAGAAGGTAAAGGGTGCAGACCTGCAAATGTCGTGTTCACGCCGCTGCTTGCATGGTCAGGTTAAATGCGGGTTACCTTCAGTAACAAGAACACAACGTGTTAATCTTAACAGGCGGTTGGTAAAAAGAAGCTGCAGCCTGGACAGGATCATGGCACTCACCTATAAAATAGACAGAATGGTTTGGAATGGTTGTCGGGAACTCACAGTGACCATGTGACTTCTAAAATGGGTCAATTTCAGAAGCTGGGTTATCGAGATTATTACGCTGACGATACTCACCTGGAATATATCTCCAGGCGTAATGTCATATTGATGTAGTCTGGAATTCTGATATCAACGATGGACTAAAAAAAAACACAACACAGCAAAGTGTATGCAAGAGAAAGACAAACCAAGCAATGTATGCACTATACAGTGTCGCTAAACTGTGTGTGTATTTAATATATTACATGTGAGAGTGTTACTTATATGTGCAGTGATAAGAAAAAAAGTTGCTCTTTTTCGTATCCTGGACATTAGAAAAATTACATTAATATTTGAAAGTGGTGTAAGAAAAACCCTGTGTGTGTTTTACAGGAATTTGAGAAATAAAGGTGTGATTACGAAAGAGCAGCCACTGTACAAGGAAAATATAAGTAAGTATTAATATTTCCGCATTCGTTTAAAATGAGTTGTAAAAATGATTTTGCAAACAATGTGCGTGTAAAAACTAAACAGGTCACGTGTGATAACACGTGTGCGTCACAGCACGTGCGTCACAACTAAACAGGTTTTGGGAACAACAGCAAAAACAAGGAAAAATCCCAAACTGCAAAAGGAAAAATAATCCTATGCTCGGTCAAGCACATGGTCCTATTTAGGCGTATGAAATTCAAATTATTTACGTATGAGATATTGGGATCGACACAGCCACTTCTGATTTCTGACTGGAAATCACAGCACATGAATGAGATGCACTGAACGCACCCACGGCAAAAGGAGCGTTGTGTGAAAGACAGAGGAGCAGAGTTGATACAAAACCGTCGACGTTACCGATTCTGTTCCGACACTGCAGCGATGCACAGATTGGGCCCCATCTGACACACTGCGTGTGCGTATGTACAGGGTGGCCCAAAAGTCAGCACACGTAGGGTTATGTTTATTTTAACAAATGACATCCTAGGCTATTTGGTTTACTTTCAATACACGTTTAAATGGACTTCCATTAACATTAATGCGTGCATTAATAATTTTATTATCATTTCAGGATTGTTTTTAAGATTATAATTATGTCTTGTCTAAATTAATTCTACTTAATGTTATCTGAACACAAAAAACCCCATTAATAAATGATAATAGATACAAATATTAACTTAAAGAAAAAATAAAACGTTTTAATGCCAGTGTTAAAATAAATGAAATCACCAACTCTGCGTCCTGACTTTTTGGGCCACCCTGTAAATACAGGATATACTGCATTTGTCAGTGCACGTGCGAATATGTGCCCGTGTGACCTCTCGCACAACGGTGACGCCATTCCCAACGTCCGCAGAGGGCGGGCGCAACGCACGCACAGCGGTCGCACGCAAATGAACCTCCGTTGCCATCGTCAGAGACTACACGGACACTCTCTTCATTTTTTTTTGGTAGCTCCGCAAGGAGGCAAGGTCCATGGAGACATTGAGAGGCGTCATGGTTAAGTCGAAGCAACGCGCAGCTTTTGTCTGCAGAGGGGTGGGTGGGGGTGGGTTATACTTTACAGACAACTCTGTGCACAAGTCTTACGTTTTGCAGTCCTCTTGCCAAGTCAGGCTTCACTTGCGAGGTCTGTACTGGCCAATTCAAGTCTCTTTTAAACTTCTCATTTCTTCTTCTTCCTCCTCCTCCTCCTCGTCTAGTTTCTTTCAATTCGGTGCAAGTTCGTCAGCCAGCCCAAGTCCGGTCCCTGTCAAACAAAGCGGATGCAGGTGGATTTATAATCGTCCGTATTACACACAGAGATGGATTAAGGCCCAAACATGTCAAGCGATAGTGTACATGAATGAATTTAGAATACTGCTTCCCGCGAAGAAGCCAAGTTAGCATCGCAACTGAAACAGGACAGCTGTGCGAAATGGCCCGGGAAGCTTCTCTCGCTGACCTCAGAGTATTTTACGCGTTGCTGTATTTTTACTGTTGGAGCCTTTGGTATTTACTGTTGTTATAATTATTTATTATTATGCCTGCCTACCGAGTGACGCCTCACTGCGTAAACGTGCACGCGTGGGGGTTTTCTCCAGGTGCTCTGGTTTCCTGCCACGTGTGTAAATGCTCATTAATTGGCGGAAAATATCTCAAAAAAATGTTTTAACCTTCGTTAGTTGCAGATTTGTGCAGTATTGTGACATGCAGTTTGCATGAATGACACCATATATATATATATAAAGCACCGATCAAGACTTTTTTTCAGGAAGGTCATGACATGTTTTTGCAGGAGTGGGTGATGTTGCTGTGTGGTGTGCCATCCCAATCGAGTAATTTCCAGGCCATTTTTCAGGATTGGAATTTTCGTCCCAACACCAGTCACATTGTGTTTTGATTTTAGCGATGGGAGGAAACTGTAAAACCCAGCGAATATCACTGCAACACAAGGGGGGAGGGGGGAGGGGGGAGAACGCACGAACATAAAGCAGTAAGATGCCCAAGTTAGAAGTCAAACCCAGGATTCCTCTTGCTCTCAGGCACAAGCGTTGACACTGCGCCACTCTACCGCCCATTTATTTATATGACGAACGGTAGGAATGTATAACAATGAGGTGCTTCTTCTCCTCGATTGTGAAAGCGTCATTATTATTCGTAGTCGAAGCATTATTAGCCACGTGCCACGCTCAACACCCTGTTGTACGCCGCCATTATTAAAGCAGGAGGTGGCTCATACTGGACATCTGAGAAACTGCTCTACATCCATGAAAAAGAGCTGCATAGCTTATCGTATTTCGCCAGGATAGATAAAGATTCTGATTCTGATCCATCACCTGCCCGTGCGACTGCGGCGGCAACAAACGTGCACGACACCTGGGGCCAGAACGGGCTGCGATGCCCTCCTAGCGCTCCCACTACCAAGCCACGTCACTCAGCGTAACCGACACGGCTCTGCACGATGGCGTGCAGAGCCCTTGCCCCTTTTCTGCCTCCACGGAACGGTCGGCAGCGGAATTGGTCGCGTTTTTTTAGTGCGGATACACCCCCCCTCCCCCTTTCCCCGCGTGAATTGGCAATGTTTCTGCCAAAGAGTGGCGGGTTTGACAGCTGTAATAGCTGCACGAATCGGCCCCCTTTTTTATTTTACGTTTCTTAATATAGTTATTCTTATAATAGGAGGATTATTTTAAGTACAATAATTTCCTCTCACCCTTGTTCATTCTGTCTCCGAGATTCCATGGTTCCTGCTGGGAAAAAAATGTATCAATTGCAGTCGGAAATTCTGAACATTGGATTATAAAATTAATATGCGTGTGCAATTCAACACGAGTGCTATGGGTTGAGGGTGTGATGTCATGCATTGGGGCAAAATGCTTCGTTATTGTGTACATTTATTAAACTCTAAAACAAACTACTAGATTGTAAGCTTGCGAGGATCATGTCACTACAGACAGTGGATTCGTGAACCTGGCCGGGCTGCGCAGATTATTGAGAGTTATCGTCTCATATGCGTGAATCTATGGCATTCTGATTTCCTCCCACTTGTGAACTCTTACGAAGGAACTGACCGAACAGTCGAAACGATGGCCAAGTTCTGTCCACTCAGCAGTGCAAATGGGTACATTGCAGTGAGTTGACTGGCAGGTTCTCTTGTCCTGGGGTACAATGTGGGTACTCTCACATTTTCCAGGACGCCTGTCCAGTGTGGAAGATAAAGTCGGGGCCCTGTAGAGCTCCCTGTAGTGGAGGCCCTTCCGCCAGCAGTGGCATGAGCGAGTCTATGTACGTATGTTGAACTTCCTTTCACACCGTATGTAGCCAACCACGACCCCCATTAGCACGGTAAGGCTACGCACGGTGCGAAAGAAGTTCAACATACATACATACGAAAGTTCCACGTACAAACATCACCTGCGTGGTAGGTGTGGTATATATGTGTGCATGTTTAACTTCTTTCGTACCGTACGTAGCCAACCACGCCAATCGGAGGTGTGGGGCGGGGGAGGACAACAAACTCAACACAAAAAAGGTTCCCGCAGAGCTGCACCTTCACCATTACCACCTAATATTCAGACAATGGCCTTTCTTCAGGGTATATCTCTTCATCCTTTATTGTCCTGCCTTCCCTGCCATGCTGCTGCTGCTGCGGCGGCGAGGGAGCCGCTGGCCGTGTGCTCACCTCTGGGCTGCGGGCTCCTGTCGAAGGGCAGGAGAGCCCTGTGTGCCCCGGGGTTGCACTGCTTGTGCCCTTGGCAGCCCCGCAGGTCCTTGAGCTCCGCCTGGAAGCTCTCCAAGTCGGGCTGCGGCAGCAGGCGGGCCGTGTTGGTCAGCTGTCGGGCGAGGGGCGGTGCGAGAGGGGGGGCGGGGGGGGGGAGCAGATGGGGAGACGATGTGGTCGGTGTGCTCCATGGACTACTTCAGCTGAGTTTAGTCAAATATGGGACCTCTCTTGCCGGTATTAAAATATAACAATAGGTTTTACCCTTTCTGGCAATAAAACAGGTGTTAAGATGTTAAAATAACAAACAGAATCCTTTTTCAAGGAATCCTGTCTGCATTAACCACACGTACTTGTGGCGAACATGCAAACATAAAACATAAAACATGCTCTACGCCGAGCTATAAATGCCCTAATAGTGGCATTGTTTTTGTGCTGTTCGCCTTTTAGCACCCTCTGGCCTAACACTTTGAGACTAGGCTCAAAAGAAAGCTGTCACTGGTGTGGACCAATCAGTTTCAAAGACAATGCATATATTATCAGAGGATGTTTTATACTCTTTGGTTCTTTCGGTAAAGTCACGTACGTAGTCACGTAGGATTTAATTTATTTTCTACCTACGTGACTTTACCGAAAGAGCCAAAGAGTAGGGATTCATGCAGTCACGAAAGCTTCATTATCGGATGATGTTTTGCATGTTTGCATGTTCACCACAAGGAAGAGTAGGCCAAGATGCCCTCGTGAGGGCTCCCTCGAGTGGAGACCCTGCATGAGTGGTGCTGCACCTCGTGAGATGGAGCGGTCCCTCTCTCTGTGCACATGTGCGTGTGTGCGGGGGGGGGGGGGGGGGGAAGTCCACGCTCACCTGGTAGCGGTCAACGTTGAGGTCGTAATACTCGACGACGCCGGTGGCGAACTCGCAGAAGAGCGTGTTGTGCGTCTCGTTCATGGTGCGCATGCACCAGTAGGTGCTGTTGCTGGCGCTGGTGCACGCGCAGAAGGAGCCGACTGAAGGGTGGGGCGGGGGATGGGAAGAGAGTGGGGGGAGAGACAAGGGGAGGGGGTTAAGGTCAGCGTCACCTCTAGGCCTCCACATCGGTGCTCGGACGGGACCGTTAGAACAACGAAATGGGAGGACTTCTCCACAAATCTGGCTGTCGCCTGATGAAGCTAGTTGTAATTACTGGCGAAACGTCGTGCTCAGATTGTAAATGTTGTGGCTTGGCTCTCCAACACACCGGTGTGCTGTACTCGTAATTAATTGGCATGTTCTGTTTACGTGACAAACCTCACTAATTGGCTGTGTCGGGTGGTGGTGGGTTAAACGACACATATTTACGTGATCTAACCCAAAAAAACATGTATTATAGATGGTGAATTGAATGTGGTTTTCTGCCCAAACTACGGCAGGCACTTATCTCCTCCTTACAGATCTGAGCTGCGGCCAATATTCCACATTACTATGGAGCGATGAGTAGATCCATAGTATAGCCACGGTTTACTATGTATTAATCATTTGAATGGGACCCGCATCTCAAAGAGACGCAGTGCAGCAGAAGTGCACGCATTCGTTTAGAAAGCGGCGGGCAGTCGCTCATAGGCAGGACGACAAAAGGGAAGGTCGTGAGCATGTCACTTGAACAAGGGCAGGGAGCCAATAGCACAGATGGCTGCGGGAGTCGGGGTTAGAGAGTTCCAGTCTATGGGAGGAGGGGGCAGCAGAGAAGAATAAGCGACATCGGGGCAGCACAAGCCAGTGGTTCTTCACCTTTACTGCAGCCTTGCACTCATTTGGATCTCAATCGTAATTTGTTGTTTGTTTGTTTGTTATGATGTTAATAAATACATAGGTTCGATTAAACAAAGTAGTTGTATTATAATAGTTTTTTTACCCTTTTATCTGGCAACAAAACTGACACCTTATTTGCAAGGAGCCATGTTTGCATTGACCACAATACCTGCAGTCAGAATGCAAACAAAAAACACAACTCTGATAATGTATGCACTGTCCTTGAAGTTGATTGGTCCACACCCGAGACAGCTTTCCTTAGAGCCTAGTCTCACATGGTGTTGGACCAGATGACGCCAAAAGGTGCACAACTCAAGGACAATGCACTATCAGAGTATGAGAGCTCGGGGTAAACCAAAGTAGTTGTACTCAAGTGCCCGTGCTTAAGTTTTGTTTCGACGATTTACCTTCTCACAAAAAATCTGCCCGTGTCTCGCACGTGAGCGTGCGCCCCAGGTAAAGAGCCACCGGTGGGATCCAACGAATGAATGAACTCCTATTGAGTGGCTGCCGCGCCGGATGGTTGGTAATGCGCGACTGGTCACGCGGCCGACGCCGTGGGTGTGCGTGGCTGCGGCGGTGCAGGACGTACGGGTCCAGTACGGCGGGGTCTGCCAGTGCGTGCTGTCTTGCGTGAAGCACGTGAGCCCGGGGAAGTTGCAGCTGTCTCCCGTTTTCAGCCGCTTCAGGATTTTCCTCTCCTTCTTCTTGCGCTTCTCCATGTTGTACTGCCTCTGCCAGGGCTTGGCTTCCTGCTCAGGACCCCTGCGCACATGCACACACACACGAATGACAAAGGTTCCCCATATAACAAAACGGCACTTGTCCCTCCAACGAAGGGGGTGTGTGGTAATCACCACGCAGGGCTGCCTTTGTCTCCCCAGTGCCGATGTTTACACACCGCACCAGGTACTCCAAGTCGACCGAGGGGAGGGGCAGAGCCGGTTGAGATATTACACGTGATAATTATAGTTTCGCCATCGATGTTGGCCATCAGCAGGAATCAAAACTTGGGTCGCTGGGATAGTAGTGTATTGCGCAATCCACGATACGACCGCTCCCCATACAAAAATGGTAAAAGCAAGTTCGCCGTACGGCTTGTACGGACTGTTGCGGTAAGTTCTGTTAGCACACACGTGCACACGCATTTTAGTGTAGAGTTTGTAAATCTATAAATGTATCTAAATAGTTGAATGTAATACGTATTTGTGGATTATCACAAGAAACGGACGAATGGAAGCTTCAAGTGGAAGAATGCACCAATCTGCTCTCGTGAACGCGTGCATCGCATTTATACAAGCAGGACGGACAAAATGTGCTGACAAGCTTACGGGCACTTAGCACTTCCACACCAAACGATTGTCATTCAAGTAATCCGCTATTATCGCGTAATTAATCACATCGCGCTCTTAATTCGTAACGCGCGAAGATTTCTCAAACCTTTGGCTCAGGAGCCACGGACAGCTGTAACCCCTCCTCCCCGTTCGGTAACGCCTACGAGTACGGAGACAGAAACTGTGTGCCTCCCTTCACCCCAAGCCACCCCTTACCTGCACGGCACTCCAAACGTCGCGCACTGCCCACCCGCTCTCTGCACATCTACACAGTCCATTATGTGCATGCAGTCTTATAAATATAAGTCTGATCTCAGACTGGGACTACATCCGTTTGTTGAAAAACACAATCATTTGTTTGAAATTCCAGCTTTTTGGTGAAGGGTAACATTATCACAGCTGTTTGAAAGTAATGAGTGCCATTGGGCGATACGGAGGGAACAAACGCTTGAGCAACAGCCCAAAAGGAGCAGCCCCATTCTTTATATCGCGCATCGTCTATTATTTCAAATCCCGGCGATTTTCAACAATTTATTTTGCACAATAGGATGGGACTGTGGGGCATTCCTTTGCACAATGCGAGTGGGGAAAATATGTACATTTCTGGCCTCAAAAAGGCCGCGCGCAGAGAAAAAAAGCGCAAGGTTTTTTTTTTGAGCAAAGGACTTTCAAAAAGAATCCCCAATTATGTTGGATTTCCAAAGTCTCCGAGTGACATACCATGGAGGGCCACACACCCACAAGCACACTCACTTGAAAGGATGTTCCGTGTCGACTTTGAGGTGCGTTTTGGCGTTAAAGAGTTTGCCTTTTGTAAAGTAACTGAAAAAAAACACAAACAGATACACGCGTGAGATCATTACGGGGCAAACAACCTTTGTTCATCAGTAAAATAATATAAACGAACCTCTGAATCTCTGAGGAAGGCTTAGGCGGTAAAGGGGCAATTTTCACGTTTTAATGCGGGGGTAGGGAACTGAAAAGTAGAGACAGACAAAATCTTGCAATTGAGCTCAAATTGTTGTGCGACGACATCAATCACATAATGCAATTATACAGCTGGTAGATAAAGGCAGGGTTATTTTTTTATCTTCAGACAATCATCTTACTTTCTGTCGGTTTAAGTTTACGCGGCGTTGCAATCGGGGCGTCGCGAGCGCCTCGCTGTGCAGCGGAAGCACAAACCTCTTTTTGTCACAGTGACATTTTTCAGGGCGCTTGGTTTTCAGATGTCCCTTCACCTCCTTCAGGTTCTTTATTTTGTCCTGCAGAGCTTCAATCTGGCCGGGTTCACAGAAGCACCATTCAACTTCATCCACTTACATATTGTCGAGTAGTTTCGACGGACGTACTCGGAGACAGAGGTAAGTTAAGGGCTTTCGCCAGGGTTTATTAAAGCTTATCAATATCACACAGCAGGGTACACAACTCCCAGAGGCTAGGGGTCCTACTCTGAGTCCGGGTCCCTGCCGGCTAGCTCCGGTCTCTCTCTCTCGTGTCGGATCGTGGAGTCTGCCGACTCCACCGAGCGGAGAGATAGGCACCTCTACGGCTACCACCGGCTTCTCCCCAGACTCCCTATTCGATCCCTCTCTCTACCCCTGGTTCCCTCTTCACCCTGCTTACTCTACCCGTTCCCACGGTGACCCCGCTTACGTCACGGGGTATCCCTTAAGTACCCTAGGAGACGTGACGTCATCGCCCTGAACGGCACACCTGACGTCACGTCCCCATTTTACTCCTCTACACAATGCATACTGGTGACTGGGCGGGGATGAGAGCGTCAATCCAGCGGTTAGTGCACCCCGTGACCCGAGTTATAGTCTCCCGGGTCATGCCTATAACATAACACTGGTCAACACACTTTTTCTGGCATAAGGTATTCTAACGGTGTTAAGGTAATTTTGGGGTGCCGATTCCAAATCTGGCATTAGTTTTTGTCTATCACATCAGGTTTTTGAGATATCAAATATTGCATTTTCAATAAAAACTGTAGAAGAAAAATATTAAATAAATGTGGAGATCTACATAAAATGATATTATAAACACACTATCCTAAAATACAGCACCATATTTTAACACTAAAGCAGTCACTGACTCGCAACAACTTGCAATCATAAGTGACAGAGTTAATTTCGGGTAAAATCAATGAAAATGGGGTATGCCGATAGCATAAAATGAGATATGATAGAGCAAATCTGAGATCAGATTTGGAATCAGCACCCTGAAATTAGTCTAAAACAGCTGCAAAAGTCCAGGCCAGAAAAAAATGTTTTTTTTTGTTGTTGACCAGTGTAATTAGTGAGTGATAAATTAATCCGGTCCTGCTTCCTCTTCCTTCACCAATCTGCATTGACCAGCATGGTGAAGTATGGTCGAACAGCCCCAATGATCGACATGCTGTGGGGAGATCTTTATCCAGCAGCAGCATTGCCCAGGAGGCTAAATTACTTAATTTCACCAATTGGAAAGCATCATACATTTGTAAGTGTTTAGCACAAGACTTAAACCAATATAGAACTTTAGACTCATTATAATAAGCCTTCAGTCTATAATTTTAGTGAGCAAAACATTACAAAAGTTGGTGTTTGGAATTATGTCGTTAGAACCACAGAATATATTTACATCAGCTAATCAGTGAGTCATGATTAACTTTAATGGAGTTTTGTTTGGGGGGTTAGATCGTGTAAATACAAATGTGTCGTAAAACCTACCACCACCCGAGCCAATTATTAAAGTTTGTCACGTAAAAAAAACGTGCCAATTAGTGACTACCTCGGCACACCGGTAGTGTTGAAAAGTAAACGACGTGTCGCTGGCGATGACAACCAGCTTCATCAGGCGAAAGCCTTCGTGTCCAACATGATTATCTTTGTTTGGGACACTGCACAGAGTGTAGAATGTGTGCTGGTTACACATGCACGAATCTCTATTAATGTGGCTGCATGCTTAGGTGTATCTGTGTGCCTTGCAGGAATGCGGGTGCACGTATATGTGCAAATGTACACGTGCGCATTCTCCGAGTCAACTCCACCTAGGATTTGTACATTAACTCACGTGGCAGTTTGGTGAAATATCAGCAATGCGGAGCGCCGGAGGTGGCAGGGTGTGTGTAGTGTTTGCCTAACCTCTATCCTGTCACGTGCCTTAATGTGCGCTTGCTAACATCGCTCACTCCAGCAGCCTATAACGCTGCACGCACATGTTTACGAGGCTCTCTATCTGTATGTGTGTGCACGCGCGTGTTTGCCTCTGGCCGGTGTTGCACTGCGCTGTATGTGTGCGTGTGTCCAGGGAGCGGTGGGGTAGCGGTTTAGCGCTCTGCCCTACGAACCCCGCGACCCGAGTTCGATTCCTGCTCACACCCATCAACAGTGAAGATTATCTGAATCTATCCAGGGCCTCCCCTATGTCCACTCAGCCTCAAATGAATCCCTGATGCAGTGTGCAAACATTGCCATTTGGGAGACAAAAGCGGACGGGCGTGGCACTGGCCACTCCACTCCCTTTGTGTGCCGTGCCGGCCTTCGTAGGTGCTCGCTAACAGCACTTGTCCCAGCAGTCTGTTAAGGCTACACGGGGGATCTTTGCCTTTGCCTTGTTCTGTCGTCTGCAAGTGCCTTACCTGATGCTCCACTATGCCCTTGTGATGCTTCCACGCCTTGATGGAAGAGTAGACCACGTTATCGCAGCCCACCGTGTTGTTGGAGAAAATATAACACCTGCACGGGCGGCATTAACACATGGAATAAGAGGCTCGCAGGCAGGGCTTGGGCAAGAAAGAAATCCGTGGGAGCTGCCCCCATTAAAATCGTACCACATTTTGTAAAGGTTCAAGAACAAAGCAGCATATAGTACACACATGTCCGGGGCAATTGTTGAAGGTGAATTTGAAGTGAGGAAATAAATACGCCTTTTGGAAACGTGGGTTTGAGAATGTAAAACGACATGGCGTGAAATTTGCGATGATTGAAACCTTTACATCGGCACATATCAAAAGTTAGCGAACGGCCTCGCGCTTGAGAAACCGATGCATTTGGTGAACGCCGAGCGCTTCCGCCCATTTCTTTTGCACGTGTGCATCGACGCGAGCCAGCGGAATGAGGCCCACACACTGCTTTGTTTATTTAAAGTTAATTCTTTCACCCATTCCTCCGCTCATTCGTGCGTTGTTTTTTCTCCTCTTCATTTATGCGTGCAGCGCGAGCGGTATCCGCTCTGGTGGATTCACATCAAAGGGCACGCGCGCGAGCACCAGAGGAAATTTATTCACGGCGAGAGGAGATCTGTCACCTTACGTGAGAAGCCTCTCGCAGCGAGGCCAGGCTGCAAGGAGTGGCGGTGCGAGGCATGAGCCAACTCGGATAAATCTCAGGATCCCCAAGCAGTTCAAGCAGCCGACGAAATATGGATGCACCAAACATCATCGTGAATTCAAATCCCAATAAACACGAGGTAAAAAGTTTCTTAATCAGGCTAATTAATGTCTCCTCTCACTGCATCTCTGTGTCTTGTCTACATAGCTCTCATTTCACTACATCTCATCTGTAACTGTCACCATCCCATTTCACTACACCTCGAGCTTTCATCCACATTTCTCTCGTCCCACTACATCTCTATCGCTTGCCTAAGTCTCTTCTGTCATCTAACGAGGAATTCGTGAACTCAAAAGGGGGGGGTGGGGGTGGCACAGAAATATGTTGTACTTAGGGACCCCCAATGGGCCAAAACCAGCACGGGCTGCAAGCATCATTCCCTTTGACAGGGTCATCACAAGCAGCCTTCCCCATTGCAGTATTTCATGACTACAACTTGCTGATCTCGTCAAGGAGCATAATCCGGTCATCCTCGCAGCAGCGGTTCTTGGCTAGCCATCGAGCAAAGACAGGTCACACAGCATCGTGCAGCGCTTTCAGATGCACTTCTGCTCTTTCTTCCTTCCGATACTAGGAAGCCACTGGAGCTATGCATTAAAAAAAAATCTAGATTGAAAACCAATTTCTTCAGAACTGCTTTTTGTGTTTAGTTTGTTGTCCTTCCCCCGCACCTCTGATTAGCACGGCTGTCTACGTAGAGCGTGAAAGAAGTTTAACATACATACACACAATGATGGTAAGTGCTGATATACGGTAGTCCAGCTATGCCCATGAGGGCATACAAAATAAGCGGTGAAAGCCGGATGAAAGACTGGCTCCCAGCATATGAATGTGGAATTTTTACTCCCAGTTCAGTCCCTCCAATGTAAATGAGCGCCACCATCCCCCAGGTTTGCGTAGTCTAAGAGACACTTCGGGTGTATTTACATTAAACGAACGTGAAATGAATCGGCCACCACCTGTCAAATAAGATCCGCTTGAGTCTTCCCTGCATAAAGGACATTGTTGTTATAACCCCGAAGCACCACCTCAATGGTCATAAAAAGCTACATACATCACAAACGCTCCATGTGACATCGGTTGTTTATGGAGTGTCTGGCTCCCGCCATAGCAATGTGGAATACGCACCGGGGCCACAAACAAAGATGAGCACCGCCGCACGCTCCTTCACGGATAACACCACCACCACCACTATTATCACCACCCCATGCTCAGAAGCAGAACATTTATTCATACTGGAGGAATCCGATGAGCTATGAGGCTCTTTTTCACAGATGTCCACTTTGGAATAATATAGGGGGGCAGCTTTTCCCAGCAGTGAGAAGTCACAGGCCGACGAAAACAACAACAACAGAGCGACGAAGACGCTCGTGCACAAACTTTCCGAGCGACAGCGGCGGCGTCGGGCTACCTGCGCGTGACCTTGTGCGACGGAGACAACGCGATGGTCTTCTTGCGGCTCAGCAGACCCTTCTTCTTGGTGGCCTTGACGCGCGTCGCCCGGCCCTGCGGCCAGCCACCGCCGCCCCTGCCCGGTGCCGCGTGCCGCCGGGAGAGCCGCCTGGCGGCTTCGTGGGCGCCAGACTCTTCCTGTCCAGCATCGAGGTGAGCCGGTCCATTCGGTGGATCTCCCGGATTCTCTAGCTCCTCCTCCGAGGTGTCTCCGCCTTCTACTCCTCCTTCTTCTCCTTCTTCTTCTCGTTCTTGGTCCTCCTCCTCCGAGAGCTCGACGGCTCGGGGTCGCAGGAAGCGAGGCTTGTACTCTGGCCACACGCAGCCAGCGAAGAATACCGTTACCAGTTTGTCAAATTTCATCAATCAATTCGCGAATTGCTTCATTGGGAAGCCACCTGGCAACAATTGATAGCTCCACGAAGTGGTTTACCACATTTCAGAGGTGTGGACTCGAGTCATGTGACTTGGACTCGAGTCAGACTCGAGTCATGAATTTGATGACTTCAGACTCGACTTGGACTTGCATAACAATGACTTTGTCCCACCTCTGAGATGTGGACTCGAGTCATGTGACTTGGACTCGAGTCAGACTCGAGTCATGAATTTGATGACTTCAGACTCGACTTGGACTTGCATAACAATGACTTTGTCCCACCTCTGCCACATTTACATTTCTAACAGCCAGCCACTCTAAATGCGGAGGCAAAAACCGGAGGACCCTGGGAAAAATCCACGTGACCATGGGGAGAGAGACACGCAAACTCCAAATATACAGGCATCAGGGTTGGGACGAACCCACGACCTCCTGTATATCAGGCAAGGTAGTTAACATCTCGCCACCGTATATTAATGGCGACTCGCTGGCTGGTGCTGGATTCATCTTGTGCCTCACAGGGACAGCTGCCACTGGGGTCCCCTGCTACAGGTCGTATTGAGATTAGCTGCATGGGAGGCGCAGTCGGAATATGAAGTACGGATGATGATATGTCCATCAGTCACAGCAGCCAGTGCATCTCACGAGCTTTTGTTGTTTACTGTAACTATTGAAACCCAGACCTCGCTTGAAAAAAATACTTATTTTGTGACTCTTTTAGAGTATCTATCTATTTATACGGTGCTTCAAAAAAATGTTAACACTTCCGAGAATTTGCAACAATACCACGATAAATGTGCCTCCAGGCTCGGGAGACCACCTGGAGAAGATTCCAGGCACGCGTTGACAATGATGGTGAACAAATGGAGACTGACTTTTTGAAGCAATTAACATTCATTTGTTATCATGTTACAGTGTATTATCAGTTCTTTTTGCATTAAACACGATCGTCCCATAGAAGTATTAAAACATTTTTAAGCACCCTGTATATATATTTAAAAATGTTCCACCAATTTAATGATTCCCGTATGCAAAAAAATATGAAAATGTGGAAATCAGTTCCTTTCTGTTGCTGACAAATGCCAGTCAACATTTTTGGAATTTAGAATTACCACGAGCTCAGGGTGGCCTATGGAGATGAGTGCTGCCACATTGCTCTTTCGGGCATCGAGATGAGTTTACGTAAGCTGAGGAGACACTGATGGATGTTTGCCATCACAAAACATCATAATCAAGCACTGCCCAGCAACAGCAAGTAATTAGGCCCCACACTTGATATACTCGTGCAATATCCACAAGCCAAATATGGCTTTCTGCAGTACAGGGATAATACCATACTAAACATAATTACTTTGGGATTTTTGTCTTTGAGTAAAAGAAAAATAACAACCCACCTTCAACTACCAAATATGTACCACGAACGGAAATATAAAATCCGAGCGATACAAATGAGCAATTTTCGATTTCCATACTGAATCGCTCACTGGTCGAAATTACGCGGCCACGTAAACTATGCGCATTCACCAAATTGATTGCTCGCCAGCGCGTTCCGTCAGGTTCCAAAAATGTAACGTCGGAGGAAACGCTGCAGCCCGCCTGCCTGATTGCAATTGGCCCTGGTGCCGAGTGGCAGATGTGCACGCCCCGTGGGAGCCCCGTGGTGCCCACTGCGGCCGCGACAACGCACGCTCCGTCTTCGCAATCTCGCTCAGCCAAAGGCAACCGGGAGCCAGGCAGCTCAGCGGCGAGAGCGGACATCGGGCAATTGTAAAGCCAACGAGCTCAAATCCCGGTTGAGAGTTGACTCGCTCCATCACCCCCTTCCGTGCCTATGCCGGTCACGTTGGCGTTAGATTCATTTGAGTAAAAAGTTCCGGTGTTTTTCCGCACATTGTCTCCGTCACCCCCTGTGCATGGACGCACAGTGGGGGAAGGGGCTATTAGCGTTTGCGTAAGGTGGCGTGTTTATGTGTGTGTTGTGTTGCAGGATATAAATGTGCACAATTTGAAAAGAAGACACAAAAGTAAAGCAAGACGTGTACACAGGAAGAAAGAAGGATGAGAGAGACAGCTCGACAAACGCAACGGGAGATTCAACAAATGCGGATACTTTGGAGAAACATTCCACGATGAAAAGAATCGGTGGGGAGACATTAAAAACAGTACTGTTTTTATCGTCATGAGCACCTTCAAGTGGTTTTGTACAAGAGCCTCCACGTAAAGAGCCTATTATTTTTAATATTATATCTCCCGATGGCAAGGCTCACAGGAGGTGCACCGTGCATTAATGAATGCCCAAAGGGGTTCTGTGCGTGCCATCCACGTGTGACTGCGGCATTGGAGTGGAAGACGGAAGCCTGTGGCGCAGCCCACTCTGTTAAGTGAGAAATCACGACGAATTTCCATCAGCGTGGCAAGTGAACATCGATCATCGATCTCCTGCTCTCCAGAACAACAACAACAAGAGAAAAGACGAGCTCTTGAGGGCCAAACAACGACGTGCAAAGAGAAGCCCTGGCGCAAGGATCCTCCAACTGAGCATTGAGGGACCCTCGCAGGCGAAGTGCGGTTATCTGGATTGGCCTCCTGAACGTGAAATTGTAGTTGTTGCTCTGCTTCTGCGACAGAAGGAGAAGTGGGAAAAAAAATTGCACGGATGCTGACCAAGTCGGTGAAATGACAGCAGCTGCAGCAGCAGAAGATAAAAGACAGAACGGCGGTGGACAGCCCTGTCGGGGCAAAGCCCTACCTGCCGAAGGCTTTGCCCCCCCCCCCCCCCTTCTGGAATTCTTAACACCTTGTCCAAGAATCCTGGTACAATATTGAATACCAGTGGCGGCTGTCCTCCGTGTACACACGGGACGACAGCCACGGCAAGAACGAACGCCGGACAAAAACAGATATCGTATCGTAACATTTTCTCTTTGTCGTACCACACCCGTTTAGTGACGGGACCGTTTCATGAGACCGTCCCGCCCCGGCCCTTACTCTGGGTGAGGTGAGTCTTGAGGAACTTGCGCTGGCTCCTCCGCTCGGCCTTGCTGAGCCGCGGGATCAGGGCTCCCCCCGTGTTGTCGGGGCACACGCACTCGCTTCCATCCTCCCGCTCCTCACCCTCCCCCTCCGCCTCGACGTCATCGTCGTCGTCGTCGTTCTTGCGGCCGCCCCCTCGCTGCGCGAAGCGGCCCCTGCCCCGCAGGGCGCTCCGCCCGCCGCCCGCGGCGCGACGCACGCTCCCGTGCGGCAGCGAGCTCTTGCACTTGTTGAGACGCAGCTTGCCCAGGCTGTCTTCCACGCACTGCCACTTCTGGGGTGGGGGGGGGGGGCACCGGGCGGAGGTGGAGGCATTGAGACTGTGAGACAGATGTGGGGGTGACAGACACGGGGGTCACCCGGTGGCTCGTGGGGTTAATAAACACAGGGCCGCTGAGCGGGCTCCGCTGAGATTCTGGGTTCGAATCTTCGGTTTTTGCCGCCTGCATTTTTAATATATTTTCAAGTGCGGTGATTAAATCGTCTGACACTGATCACCGGTGACTGCACACACAAAAAGCCCAAGATAATATGAATTAGCTTTTGATTTGATTTATAAACTCCTTGCTCGGGGGGTGAAGCCCCTACGTGCGTTAACTTGACCTGACTTTGTACTGCTCTGAGCACTCACACCTCCGCTGCTACTCACAGATTTTGATTGGCGACTAAAATCCCTGCCACTGGTTGGAGAATGATAACCGAGCAGTAAAGAACTTGAAGGGGGCCTTGGCTGGTGCGGCGAGGGAGGGGCAAGGATGGGAAACGTCATGTGTGCGTGTGTGTGTGTGCGTGTGAGTGAGAGAGCGAGGCGTAGGGTAAAGGTTAACCCGCTGCGAATACAAACCCGGCGGCCAATACCAGTGACGATTGTACCAGATATGCAAGTCCATCTTAAGACACCAATTGGTTTTCATCCCCGAGTTCTGGCGATTTACCCTGATTCTGTTTATTAGCTGCTTTCCATACAAGGCATATTGGGATCTACGTATGAAATGCGCCTTACAAATATATGTGATTATTATTATAAGCACTGGGGAAACAAAGGCGGTGGGGGCGTGGTGCTGGCCAACCACCCCCTCGTGTGCCGTGCCGGCCTTTATAAGTGCTACTCACAAACAGCACTTGTCCCAAAAGTATGTTGAGGCTCTACGGGGGTGGGGATCTTTGTCTTTGTGTGTGTGAAAGAAAGAGAGGTGGAACGCTGGCCACTTGCCTGTGCGGGCTGTTGGCAGGGCGTCTGGTACTCGGCGCGCTGGCAGATCTCCCGCATGCGCTCGTACTTGGGCAGGAGGTTGGTGTGTGCAGAGCCGCTGGCATCCTTCACACGGAACATCTTCCTGCAGGCCCGATGCGCACGCAGCGTTCCGTCAAAGAGGCACGCGCGTGAACGCACGCGTGGGTCCGGCGCTCGCAGGGATGTGTGCGTGTATGTGTCGGTTGGCGTGCTGCGCTACGAACCGCTTTTATCTCCCTGCTTACACACCAGGTACTCATTTGAGACTGGGTCGACCTAGCGGAGGCCCAAGACCAGTTCAGATATAATCATCACTGGTGTTGACCGTCAGCGGGTTTGTAGCGCAGTGCGCTCACCGCTGCACCACCGCTCCCCACACAATCACACATACACACACGAACATATAAAAATACTTGCAAAGGAGGGTAGGGGATCATATGTGCCATACTCCTAAGCGGATATTCGACAGTGAAAGTCCCTTTTAGTCCACAATAAAAAAAATGCTACAGAAGTGAATGCACTAAGGGAGCTTCCACACCATTAGGCACAAGACCTAACAGGCACACGCACGCGTTTAAATGCTTGCATGCTAAGTGCTCTGGTAGACCCACGGAAAATGCACATTTTTGTAAATAAATGTTTTATGGGCAATCCTTCCCACAGATCTGGGCATGAAAATTAATCTGCGTGCAAGTTTCATAGCAAACGGCGTAGGGGCTTTGCACTTTTCATGAGATCATATAAAGTATTTTTCAGGTGGCTGGACAGATCGATGGACAGATGCATGACATAGCAGAGAAATATGTAGCCCATAGACTCCCTTGAAAAAAAATACTGAAAAGGCACGAACGTGTGTTTTGAAGTTTTCGTAAAATAATATAAAGTGTCTTCGAATGGACGGCATAATATTTCCCAGACACAGCTATGAAGTACCCTGCAGGTCACATTAAACAAAAAACAACAAGAACAACACTGAGGTGGTGGCGCACGCGCTCGTACCCTCTCTCGATGAGGAACGAGTCCCTCCACGACTTCATCTTCCTCAGGCTCGGGTGGAACCTGTGGTGGAATGACCTCCGATCAGCACGGTTGGCTACGTACGGTGCGAAAGAAATTCAACATACGTCCGGTACACATGCCTCTCGCGTAGACTGTGAACAATTAAATTGGAGCAGAGGATCAAAGAAAGAACTTTGAGGAGTCACCAACTGGGATTCGAAGCACGTGCACTTCCCCCTCCCCTCCCCCGTAGCACGCTCGTCCACGATCAGGGTGGGGGGGGGGTGCGCAGGGCGCGACACAGCAAACGCCGTGTTATCGTTGCGAGCGGCGCGGCCTGCGTATTGTGGGGGACCCTGCAAGTCGCGTGCGTGCGGCTTGCGGTGCGGCGCTGCGATGAACCACAAGCGGCGTCGCAAGGAGCTGTCAGGCTACCGGTGTAATGAGAACGCCAAAGGCAGGTGTCGGTTGAAGGTAGTGGCTCAGCTTTGTAATTGTCTGCTAGTGCCAATGTGCGAGAAACTAATTAGGGGGACCCTCTTGAGAATATTTTGGTCTCTTCTTCCACACCGAGCCGGTGGCTCACCATTTGTGCCACCCGGTTGGTACAGAGGCGAGCGGGGAGATCCAAAAAAAACCTGCACCGCCATTCAACTCCCGCAACGGGACACCGAATCGAACTGGCGACCTCGAGATTGCGCGCTGACCCTTACACCGTGGCAGCTTCCAAGATATCAGTAATCCTGCATTATCGCTTCATTTTCTGTGTGCAGTCAGATGGCTGCTGCTCAGCGTGTGTTGGTTGACCGCTTTTGATTACGATTTCTCGTCAGCGGCTTGGTTTCATATCAGGACGGCAGATGCCAACGCACGTGGATGACGCGGCTAAAACGCCATAACGCACGCGGCACCGCGCCGTCTATTTCCGACGTTTTAAATCAACTCGGCCCACGTTGACCACGGGGGGGGGGGGGGGCTGAACGAGCCGCGTCCGGTCACGGCCGCTCGCTCACCCACCGGTTCGTCGGCCGATCGGGCAGCAGCAGCTTGAGCACCGACTTCCCGTCCATGTCGGCAGGGACGTCCAGGCCGGCGATGTCCAGCATAGTGGGCGCCAGGTCGATGTTGAGCACGATCTGGGGGATCCTGCGATTGGCCAAACGATGCGAGCGACCGGCGCAGCACAAACAAAGGGGGTTTTTTGTACGCCGCACGACAGGGCTGTGGACAATCGCGACGGGCAGCGTCGAGGAAAGTCCCAGGCCCCCGGCCTGTTCTGGGAAAAGCCAGAAAAACCAGGGGCCCAGGTGCAGCATCAACAGGGTGGGCCGAGTCACATGGTTCCGCGAGCGATCGTGAAAGACACGAGAGCCACGTAGGGATGACGCAGGGCAGTGGGTCGTGGAGACGGAGCGGTCGACCTCACTGCTGGTGATGCTCAATTGAGCTTATCCTGACTTTGTCTTCCGCCTGTGTTTAGGGAACTTTCGTTATTATTATTGTTGTTCTTACCCGAGCCTGTTTAAATAAGCAGTGCGCCGCAAGTGTCCTTTGCCGAGCGGGCGTTTTGTTCAGAAATCTCGAATGCGCACGCGACCACGGGGAGAGCATTAGCATCTATACACTTTGCCTGTCAGTCTCATAGAGGCAACTCGTTGCCAATATATTGAGTTGATGTTGATGATAGCAGCGATGACTATGAGAATGACAATTATATACGTGTATCTTGATCGTTGTACGTTTTCTGCTATAATATGGATCAGGAAAAGTGTACAGAGAAGCATCCTTGAAATGACATTGATGGACAGAAAGTTCAACACGTGGATTGCAGAGCACATGCAGGTTCAAGACATCATTGAAAATATTCCGAAACGTAAGTGGGCTTGGTCAGGACACGCCGCGAGAGGTGACAATGGCCATCGGTCAAGAACAGCGAACCGAGCGGCAGCAGAGGGATGTAACGCGTCCGAGAGGACATCCACAGGGGGAGATGGAGCAAATAAATTGGCACATGTGCAGGCGCTGGGTGGATGATTACATTGCAGGTGTGCGAGTGATGCATCTTTGTATGTTGAACTTCTTTCGCACCGTACGTAGCCAAACCGTGCTAATCGGAGGTGTGAGATGGTAATGGCTTGGGAAGGCCTTAATCCAGCATTAGAGTGAACATGGCTGACTATGGTGATGATGATGACGATCATGACGGTGACAATGGCATTTATGAAGGCGATGGCAACAGTACAGTGGCTAGAGCGGTGATAATGGCAACATCTGAATGGTCTCCCACCCGCAGCCTTGCGGGCTAGGTTGTGAACCAAAGGCTACGCGAGTAAACTCGACATAAAACCGGCCGACGGCCGTGGTAAACCGCTGCTGTATTTGCCAATCGAGACGTGGCCAGAACTAGAAGTATTGATGTTCATCCCCGACTAATATCGTGGACAGAATTCAATGGAAGGCCACGATCGCCAACGTCCTCGAGTAAGGACGTGGCCCAGAGTACAAAGCACAACGCCGATGAACCACGGACCGGCTCACCTGACTCCAGGCTGCACGTCGGGCCCCCGCACGTAGAAGGGCACGCGGATGTCGAACTCGTAGGGGAGAGACTTCCCCTTGACGAGGCCAAACTGCCCAAGGTGGTAGCCGTGGTCGGCCGTGTAGATTATGTACGTGTTGTCCAGCTCCCCCGTCTCCTCCAGCATGGTGAAGATCTGGGCGTGGGGCATCCGGCAGGGGGACGAGTTTTCACGCGAATTTGAGACGGGGGGAGGGGGGGGGGGCGCGTGCGCTGTCCCGTTTGTTAACTCGTCGGTAGATCGAGTGGGAAACTAAACTTAAGGGAGTTGTCGTGAAAGTCGACTCCTGGCGAGCTTGGGTTCCTGAGAGCGTTGAGAGAATATTTCTTGTGATTGTGACTTTGTTAATTGTGTAATTTCCCCCCCTGCCCCCTCTTTTATTCCTCTTTCCCCATCCACTGTGACTGTGTCATTTCGGAGAGGAGAACTGTTTAAACTAAACTACGAACTATTTTTTATTTTACCAGGTAAGGCCCACTTAGCTGTATTGCTCTTGTTCCAGGAGCGACCTGGCCACCACAATGATAGCTCAATCAGGTGGTTTATCACGTGGAGATTTATAGCAGGTGCCAAATACCATAAATGCACGATGTCTATTCTAAATGTGGTGGGAAAACCCGTAGGACCCCGCAGAAAAATCCACGTGACCACGGGGAGAACATACAAACTCCAAATGTACAGGCACATCGTGTCCGCCACTCCTGGTGTGCTGTGTGCTAATTACTAGGCAGTCACGGGGGTCCTTGTTAATTATCATCCATCATTATTGTCATCGTCATAATCATCATCATCACCGTCAATAAATTCAAGATTTGTAACACGCCATATTCAGCAAAAAGCTCAAACAGAAGCGTGCATGGCACGAAGAAATATTTAACTCAACAGAAGAAACGAGAAATGTGTTTAGCCTGCTATTAAAAGCACCGATTGTCATGGCTAACTGGACTTCAGTCGGTCACCATCATTATTATTGTCATCTTCATTAACATAATCTTCATACACGACATTATTTTTGCACACAAGTGCAAAAACATTTAATTCTGAAACCAAATATATGAATAAAAAAAGACATGCCTTTAAATTAACTTTAAATGTATTTTAGCGAACTGGGACCCTAAGCCTGCTTCTGAGTTTGCTTCTGCCTGGCATCACCACTGCCCCAAACAACTGCAGACACAACAATGGCACCACCACTGCCACTACCACCACCGCCGCCGCCGAACGCAGGGGAGGAGGCCGTGGCATACCCTCTGCACGGAGTCGTCAACAGACAGCAACGTCTGCAGCCGCTTGCGCTGGAGGACATTGGTGAACTCCATGTGGATGGGCAGCATCCGCCCCGTGTGGCTCACGAACCAGTGCTTGTCGTGGTTGGGCCCGTAGTTGTAGCTCGGGGTCCTGTTTGTGGGGGGGGGGGGGAGGGGGGGAGCGCAGGGTGTAACGCGGAACAGAGTTAGTGCGCCGATCGTCACTCCCTTCCGCCAAACCCCAGCGCCGCTGTGCACGAGGAGAACGCACAAGCATAGGTGGAACGATGTCGCTCATAGGGAGTTTGGTCAAAGGATTTGTAAAACAAACCACACGTCTGTGCTGTGTAAAAAAGGAGTACTTTAAAGGCAGCATAATTTCAAAGAATATATGCCATAGCGGCAAGTCAGAAAACACAACTGAATCAAACCACTGTAAGATAAAATAAAATTGGCTTGTGCACCAAATAAACGCTCGTGGCTTCCAGCTCACACGAGCGCGGGGCAGTCCTCATCTGTTTACAACACTCCATCAACAATGGAAATTCCACATTCCTATGGCAGGGAGGTGAGAATGAACCACTGTTGACTACTTCCACAAAGTGGCACTTATTTTATCGAACGGTACAAGGGCTGCGTCTAGCCTTAATTGGGATTTGAACTCTCAACCTTCCGTTTGCGAGCCATGTGCTCTGGACCACTGCACAACCCCAACCACAAAGAAATATACATCAGTTTACGTAATAAATGATCAAAGAATGTAATAATATATACACCAAAACCATAAGCCAGTGTTCATGGATTCCACTACCTGTTGCCTCTGTTTTGTTGTCTGCTCTCACCGAAGACTGTTGTATCTAATGCCTCACGAGTGACAAGCAAGTGGTCAAAACTGTGGAATTTTGTGAGACCTAAGAATAAAAACCCTGCGCTGTTGAATTTTAATAGGGGAGAAAAATCCCACGACAGAAATAGTTTCCTATCCTTCTTGCTCATCCTGACAGACAGTAATCTTTTCCTGGGCTTAAACAGCTTAACAAGTAGATGGGAACATTCTGAAAAGCCACTGTTCTGTGGCTCTGCAGATCCACGTCATTGAGGAAATAAAGGAGGCCTCCCTGAACCCGATCAGCAATATTATCTTTGCAATAGAAATCCACAGAAGCAGTTTACAGCAGTGAATGCGTGTCTGTGTGTGCGTGCCGGGTGGCTAAAGCACAGCAAGTTGGCACAGTAGGGGCACAGGTGGTGCATCAGCCAGTCATCTCAGTCATCTCAGTCAGTCGACCTGTAGCACCTGGGTCTGCCCCGTAACCTCCTGCCAGCGGGCTATCGACACTTCACGTGGCGCTAAGGTGCACATGGCCTGGAACAAGCGTCGTGGGGACGTCACCGCCACTTAGTGGCGAACGGCGGTTATTGTTGTTGTTGCGTGTGCGGAGCAAGAGTGCTGAGGTTAGCGTGCTGGTGCTTCGAACCCGTAAACCCAAGTTCCCTTCCTGCTTCATGTGACCAATAACATTGGCGAAAAACGTAACCTATCCCGAACCTCCCCAAGGTCGACTCAGCCGCAAATGAGTACCTGGTGCGGTATTTGAACATCGCCACTAGGGAGACAAAGGCGGCAGGGCGCGGCATTGACCACCCACCCCCTCGTGTGGTGGGTTTTCGTGGGCGCTCGCGAGCAACACTTGCCCCCACAAGTTTTTCTCTGTCATTGTGTGTGCGTGCCAGAGGTCGCAACCGGGTACCCGATACCCGTATCCTACCCAATACCTGGCTACCCGTACCCGGCCGGGTACGGGTAGGCCGTGAGTCACTGGTGAGTAACCGTTTGTCACTCATTTCCCAACGTCTTGTCTCTTCTCACAATTAAAGTTCCAAGAATCAATCCACCCGCGCCTGCAACATGGCTTCATCCCAGAGGTCGCAATCAGGTACCCGATACCCGTACCTGGCCGGGTACGGGTAGGGTACGGCCGGGTCTGGGTACAGCTACCCGTTTGCGACCCTGGTGCGGCCGGGTACGGGTACGGGTAAAGAATCAAAACCCGTTTGCGACCTCTGGTGCGTGCGCCTGTGTGGCACAGTGGTCAACCTACTGGTGCTGCGAACTCAGCGACCCGAGTTCCATTACCGGCCACGGATAACATCATCGGCAAGCGGTATCTGAACTTGTTTTTGGGTCTCGCCACGGTCACGTCAGCCTTAAACGAGTGCGCAGTGTGGTATGTCAACATCAGCACTGGGAAGGGGGGGAAATAGAGGTGGCCAGGTATGGTGCTGGCTACGTTTCCCACCCCTCCACTCCCCATGCCCCCACTCCACCCCCACTCCAGGTGCACCATTCTAACCTCAGTTGGTCCTCACCAACAGCACTCGTCCCAATCGAACCATATGGCCACATGTGGGTGGGTTTTTGCTTTTTTCGTCTTGCGTCTTAACACCGGTTCCAGAGACTACTCCCATCACCGTTTAAATAAGTCGCGAGCAAAGACCTCCACAAACTGACATGATGGCCGGCCAAAGCGCAATTGGAATAAATTAAAGTGTTGGGGAAAAGAAGAAAAGTCTGACGCCGTGTGTTGTTAATATGTTAAAAACATTCTAGAAAAAGTAAATTTATATGGAACGTTAATTAACAGCAGCAGTCGTTTGTAAAGTGTTATTTAAGCAAAATTCCACAAATTTCGTCGAAATGAGTGCAATTGTCCATTAAAACAAGCATTAAAATAAACAAGGACCATTTAAAACAGACAAGAGACAGTTCTGATATTCAAGAGAGCAATATTGTTACTGTGTGTTAGATGTAAATAACGATTTTACAATGTAGTGTTTAATCTTGGGATATATAAAGCAGCTCAATTTTGAGGCACGTCTTGAATTGAAAAGGCTTAAATGAGACTTAAAACTTTCGTGACTGCAGGAATTCACATTCTTGGTTCTTTCGGTAAAGTCACGTAGATAGAGAATAAAAATAAAAGTAAAAATAAATTACAATAAAAAATAAAAGTAAAAAAACCACGACGTTTCGATGGCAACACAAGCGGTCTTCTTATCTCCGTCTGTTGAAGACCGCTTGTGCTGCGATCGAAACGTCGTGATTTTTTGCTTTTATTTTTAATCTATTTTTATTTTCTATCTCTGTAACATTACTGAAAGAACCAAGAATATGATTAAATGAGACATTATTAGGGCATATAGTCTTGACAGTAATTTCCAAGTAAATTCTTTAAATAACAAACGTAGACCGTGCCATAGCTCTCTTTCGCGACAGTGGCAAGTGGCCAGTCATATTTTAGAGATCACAGCGATGGGTAGAGTGTTTATCATTTACAGTGAAGCACCTGCCTCATCTGTCCTTCAAACCTCGGGGGTTCCCAAATTCAAGATGACTATCGGCATGCGTTGGTGTCACAGGCTATTGCTACAGGGGTGGTCTGAAGGCCGATTTGAGCGTAATTCGGTTGTGAGGCAAGATGATAGGCCCGATGCGGAGACATCTAGGCCACAGCTGTGACAGCTCTTCATAGCCCTTGGCAGACGTTCACTTATTAAATTGTGTTCTTGTGTGTTTATGACATCAATGTATGGATCCTAAAAAAAAAAAATATCACCAAGAGAATTTGTTCGTTTGTTTGTTCGTTTCTCAATCCGCTTAACCTGGTGAGGGTCGCGGCGGCAGCATGTTGAGTAGGGCGGTCTAGACCTCCCTGTCCCTGGCAACAGACTCCAGCACTATAAGACTATACACTATTACACTACACTCAACACTACCATACACAGACTCTAGCTCTTTCCGTGGAATTCCCAGGCGTTCCTAGGCCAGCCGAGCGACATAGTCCCACCAGCGTGCCCTGGGCCGGTCCCGGGGTCTTCGCCCAGCGGGACGTGCCCGGTAGAGTTACAGGGGGAGTCTACCGGGGGGCTGGGGGGGGGGCATCCTTACAAGGTGCCCAAACCACCTGAGCTGGCTCCTCTCGATCCGGAGGAGCAGCGACTCGACTCTGAGGCTCTCCCGGATTACCGAGTTCCTCACCCGGTCACAGAGGAGTGAGCCCGGCAACCCTGCGGAGAAACCTCATTTCGGCCCCTTGTACCCGTGATCTCATCCTTTAGGTCATTACCCAAAGCTCATGACCATAGGTGATTTACTTGTACTCGGTTGGTGGGAGGATTTCGAGCATCTCATCATCAAAGCCATTCATTCATCTGCCAGATAATGCTATTATGATTGCGTAAGATTGCGAAGTGTATATTTGTCTGCGTGTCTGTGTAAGCTGACACTCACAGACAAGCGTGGTCTCACTGCGATAGGAATGCGCATTGGACGGTTGTAGGACAATGCCATTGTTTGGTAAAACCCCAGAACTTCTAATAATGAAGTCTAAAAAAAATGTATGCTGTCATCCAACTTAAAATATCGACCAAAAATATACTGTAATCTACAGGGAGGAGTGGTGGCGCAGTAGTTAGCGCACTGCAACTATGAACACGGCCACCGTCAGTGTATTCCCGGCCACGGCTAACATCAGTGGCGAATGACATCTGAATTTATTCTGAGCCCTTCCCTTCACCAACATGCACTGGCCAGCATAGTGAGGTATGGTCAAACAACATCTCATGATAAAACAGTATGCTTGTGGGGGAGGGGGGGTATTATCATAATTTTAACTCGGCCATAAAATATTTGTTTTTCTTTAAATATTCGTTGTTTTGCTTTAGATGACTTTTGCCACCCAAGGGCGAACTTTTGTCAATATATACCCCCGACGCCTTCTACATTCATCAATGTGCATCGCGCCCTTCAATTATGGCCCAGATTTACAAGAAACGATTGCTGCCGTGTTCCAATTACCCCACTAGAGGGTAGGACGAGTCCTGATTGGCAAGCAAAGGCATCATCAGCTCAGAGAAGCGACTGTTTCACACAACGAATGAAATAAAATGCGATTGGAGGGCAAAACAAATCAAATGCGTCCTCACTTTAAAAAAAAAAAGAAGTTGCTTTTGCGATCGGGGGGGCGAGTGTTTTAGCACGGGGCTGCCCTTCAGGTTGTCTCGCCTCTGTTTATTTGCGTTCAGTAATGAAGGCGACACTGAGAGGAGAGCCAAAGGCACGCTGTCACCCACCGCCCCCTGCCCCCGAAGTTAAGGCGCCGCTTATTTACCCAGACGTTAACAAAACTGCTCATGCCGGGGAGCTCCCAGCGGTAATGAGGCGGCGCGCGTAAGATTGTCTTTCACAACACGGGCGGGCGGGCCTCTGTCGCTCCCACACACCGCTTTCACTCCGTGCAAATGGGTGGCCAGCGGCACCAGTGGCACGCTGCTGATGCTGATGTTGAGGGGTAATGGTTCGCTACCCAGACTTTTGCGATCCAGTCTGATTGGGTGTGGCCCACCGCTCGCGTCCAAGCTGTCGTGTCATCCGCTTTCCTGTTTTGCGTTTCTTTAACTCAATAGCAAATTTCACTACGATCGCTCGAAAAGATAATCTTCCCGACACGACTTGCGCTCCAGGGAATGTATTATTCCTCATTCATTTATGTTTGCGCAGTGTTATTGATTTTACCCGTTACGACGCAGTTGTTTTTGCGCCGATTCCTATTCGCCTCATTGCTGTACCTTATTGGTATTTGATTTGCTTCTGTCACATTGGTGATCCATGTCACTCTTGCCAATGAAAATATTAGAATTGGCGCTAGACACCTAATTCATAAAAATTCGAGTGAGATGGGAAAATAAATGCAGACAAGGGATATGGGGAAATGGGATTAGGCATACGTAGACACACATAGATATGTAGTGAGATGAGAGATGCATGCAAGATTGAGATGAGACGAAATAAATGGGATTGCTAAGTTATTTAACTTGCTATTTTTAAGCGAATTTGAATTTAAAATTGGTTGATACATCCCTATATTTTCATGAATCCAGGGTTCCTTCAGCTGCTTGGGGCGCTGAGCATTTGCTTGCATTTTCTGATGCCCAGTGCCACCACCACTGCACCCCTTGAGACCTGACGATTCCTCCTGCTGCCGCTAAATTTGAACGCACTCCAGTGCGATCGGCAGACCAGAGTCGCACACTAAACAGAAGCTACTCGCACGGATAACGGCTCATTGCCGTGAACCAAACAGCCACTGTAATTGACTACGTGTGATAGGGAATTTGAGTTTAGGCGAGAAATGTATTATCCATAACTACGTAATGCCTGTGAACAAATCACCCGGAATGTGCCGGTCTCTTCAGACCTCAGAAACTAAGCGGGGGTGAGATTGTACTTGGGATGGGTGACCACTATGCATGCCAGGTTGTCACAGGCACCGCACTGTGTCATGGGCAATGCGTCATACGCCACTGTGGTAGACCTATAGAATACTTGCTATGCTCCTGTGTAAACGCTCCCAGCCTGCGTTGACCGGAATGGCTAACTACCATATGCAAATTTAAAGCAGCTAATTACTCTAAACGCTTGTTAATTCTAAATGTGGAGGGGAAAACCGGAGGACTCGGAGAAGAATCTATACGACCACAGGGAGAACATGCAAAATGCAAATATACAAGCATCAGGGTCGGTATCGAACCTATGACCTCCTGTATACCAGGCGAGGTAGTTAACATCTTGCCACAGCTAAGCCCGTTAGAAACCCCAGCCGCGTAACTACGACGATGAACAAGAACCACCCACCCTGCCTGAGCAGGATCAGACAAAGTGACTCACACAACCCCCACTCTCACCCTGCCTGAGCAGGGTCAGACAAAGTGACTCGTCACAGCTCCACTCTCACCCTGCCTGAGCACAGACAAAGTGACTCGTCACAGCCCCACTCTCACCCTGCCTGAGCACAGACAAAGTGACTCACACAGCCCCACTCTCACCCTGCCTGAGCACAGACAAAGTCACTCGTCACCGTGCCACTCACGGCACCCACGTACAACATTCCACCGCTCATCAGCGAACCCGACGCTAACACACGTGGCACATTCGTGTGTGGCCTGGTAAACATCCTGCATTTTGAACGCTGCTGCATACAAACATCGACAGCGGATCTCCACGCGAACCACCATGGCGAGCGGGCGCATCGCCGCGTTACAACCGCGCCGGGCTGTTATTCAGAGCTGTTATCTTTCGAGCTTTCAGCGCCACACGGCTCATGAGCCCAAAACATGGCGAGTGAAGACATCACACATCACGCTGCCCGCCCGGACGCCACGCCAAGCGCACGTTGCCGGCCGTGTTTATGACAATTAGCGGTTCAGCCGGGTCAAGCGACTCCAGAGCGAGTGTCCTGAGATGAGTTGGATGTTGTTGGATACACCAAAACATTCCGAGCCGGGATGAGCTGTGGGGCCAGTCACAACAGAGGCCGTGACAGTCTTTGTTAAGCTGCTTATGTAAGGGATACTTGGTCACGAAGACAATGGGGATCGCGAGGTGTTTACATTCTCATGCTAACCAAGCTAGGCTGCACATCACCAGTGAGCGTGTCAACGTCCCTTCCTGTTTTAACGTGGGAAGTCAACACATTTCAACTTGTTCCATCATCGTAACTATTCATCACTCAGGTTCTATTCATAAAAAAAAGGTTTTTTTCATTTTTAACACAAGGCTTAACAACACTCCGAAGCATCGATACTGATCCAGTGCATTGAAATGCATCGTCGAGGTAAGTACATAATTCATATATTTATAAACTCATTATAAAGAGGGCCACTCGCTCAAGGCCTCAATGAGTTGATGCCTTGTAAAAGAGCTCCTTAGCTCTATGGGCCCTCCCAGCTGAAATAAAGTTCAAATCCGAGTTGAAAAATACAAAAGAACGCACATGAACACCATACAAGCTGATGTGTGTGTGTGTGGGCGACAGTTCTCTAATTAGGTCTGCTTTTATAGACAAAGGTGATTATGGAGATGAATATGACGGCGATGATGATGATGATGAAAGTGGCGGTGGCGATGATGAGGATCGCAGTATACGTATACGTTCACGTGTGTGCACGTCTGTGTGTCTATGCAGAGCTTCATTTTTTTACATGGAGCCCCAACCGCCTGCACCCCGTGGAGAGGTTGGGGTGCAGAATAGTTTCCAAGAGCTCCAGAAATTAATCCCTGTGTTTATGTATATATGTGTGTGTATATGTGCGTTGGAAGCGGTAGTGTAGCGGTTAGCACGCGGCGCTATGAACCCGGTGACCCGAGTTCGATTCCCGCTCACGGCCAACACAAGTGACGATTATCTGAACCGGTCCTGGGCCTCCCCTAGGGCGACTCAGCCTCAAATGAGTACCTGGTGCAATGTATAAACAGTGCCAGGAGGGAGACAAAGGCGGCCGGGCGTGGTGTTGGCCACCCACCCCCTCGTGTGCCGTGCCGGCCTTCATAGGTGCTTGCTAACAGGCTCTGGAGACCACCTCGAGAAGATTCCAGGCACGTGTCATTAAAAACGATAGTCCCACATAGGTGTTAAAAACATTGTTGAAGCACCCTTAAAATGTTTTAGCTATGGGAGGAAAGCAGAGAACCCGGTTAGAAACCCACGCAGAACTGTGGGTGAGAGTGAGAGAGGGCAAAACAAAGTCCACACGGAGAGGCAAACCCGGGTCGGCGGTCGAACCCATGCGGCGTCGCCCAGAGAGCGAGCGAGAGACTCACACGTGCTGCGTGACGTTGGGGAACGCGTCCGCGTACTGCGGCGCCGAGTCCTCGGGGCCGTGCGGGGCCGCGTGGCTCACCACCATGAGGACGGGCCTCAGCGGGAACTCCTGCTTGGAGCGGCGGAAGAACGAGATGCTGTCGTTGGTGATGAGGTCGGTGAGGTAGTCCTGCACAGAGACAAAATTCCCCCCAACCCGTGTGAGCTTTCACAGACCGTTGGGGCAAGTGCTGTTAGCGAGTAGCACGTACGAAGGCCGGCACGGCGCACGAGGGAGGTGGGTGGCCTGCACCGCGCCCGGCCGCCTTCGTCTCCCGAGTGGCGATGTTTGCACGCTGCACCAGGTACTCATTTGAGGCTCAGTCAACCTAGGGGAGGGCCCTGGACAGATTCAGATAATCGTCAATGTTCATGGCCGTGAACTCGAGTCGTCGAGTTCGTAGGGCAGAACGCTAAACCGCTACGCTACCGCTCCCTGCACGCACACACAGACACAGCGCAGAGCACCACGGGCCAGAGGCAGACACTGCGGGAGACGCGGCAGACAGCTGCACGCTGGTAGCTGCGCTGCACGTGGCCTGTGATCCTGCGAGGGTTGGTGGATCACTGCACAAATGTTGCCAAATTCCCCTGCCGTAGACATCGAGGTGCCGCCATACCCTGGGCTCTCCGGGAGAATGCGGTGCGGCAAAAATGTGGACTCCAACTGTTCCGTCTGTATGGGATAGAGTGTTTCCCCCTCGCAAGCGCAGGTTTTCTCCAGGCGCTACGGTTTTCTCCAACGTGTAAACACACATCAATTGACTGACAACACCTTCATATATGGAAGACCGCAGAGCTTGGGCAATTGCTGGCAGTGCCGGCTGACCGTGTGGCTGCCTTCCTGCTCGTCTGTGGTTCCTCCCAGCGCCTCTGAGTCGTTCTCTCTCTCTATGAGAGCGAGTGAGCGAGCGGCGTGCGCGGCGGCAGCGCATCGCAAGTTTGAATCATTACTCACGGATTAAGCAATCACAGGGGAACATTAGTTTACGTATGAAACGCACGGAGGCACAAGGATGTGGACCAAACGAGCCAACGTAAAAGGCGTCTTCCTTGTTCACGTGAGCGTGTTGGGGTGGGTTTGCTCGCTGCCGACATCGCTCCAAAGATTTCACATTTCTGTGGGGTGTGCGCAGGGCTTTTTGCCTTTTTTTTGCTTTGTTTTACTTTAGAACGTCGGGGTGCGCTTATTTTCTTCTGGGTTAAGTGCACTGAGTTACACAAGGTTTGCTGTGCGTGATTGAAAAGCCGATCTTGTACCCATCAAATAAAATTGGTTCACGATGAATTAGCTCCGTGGTTCTCGGCTTACTTAAATGTAAGGCACTCGATGTTTTATATATCTTTTAAAGGATTTTTTTTGTCCTTTTGCTGCTGGTGTTTCGTTTCAATGTGAATGGGATGTGGAATTGGCCGAGGGCCTCTCGGTCACGATCGGCCAAGTCGGGGCTCTGCCAGGCATAGGAAGTGGGGGGGGGGGGGGTCCTGGTCAGCAAAGGGGGGGGGGGGTTCCTGGCCAGAGGGGGGGGGGGGGCTGCTATCAACTGCTGTGGGATCACTGCACGAAGCCCTGGGACACGCCCAGAAAAAAACACTTGTAATTCCTATCCCTTACAATCGCCAGGCCACGACAACGCTCGGACTCGCTTCAATCCTCAGCCACCTGCTTCGCAAGATCCCGAGTGGGGGGAAAAATAAGTCCCGCGTGTTTTTTTTTTTTAAGACGGCTAATAGACACAATGTTCTCATGATTAGCATCTTTAAGTGCACGCACAATGACAGTCACAGCCACACAGATACAGAGAAAGATCTCCTCCCCCCCCCCATAACCTTATGAGGTTGTTGGGGCAAGTGCTGTTCGCAAGCATCTTCTGAAGGCCGCCACACACATGAGGTGGTGTGGCCAAGTGGCACTATGCCCAGCCACCTTTGTCTAGTTTATGAACACTGCACCAGGTATTCCTTCAAGTCTGAGTCTACTTAAGAAAAGCCCACGATGGATTTCGCCCTGATGGTGAATCAAACTTAGGTTGCCAGGTTCAACGTGCAGTGCTCTAACCATCACACTAACGCTTACCAACGTATACAGACACATAGGACCAGAGATGATTGTTGTCATTATTTATGTCAATGAGGCATGCAAGGATTCACCCCGTTACAATTCCACAAATTTCCACGATTCAGCGTTGCAATTTGATTTAACTGTGTGATCCAATGTAGTGCTTATAGTGGCTACAGGGATCAGCACATGAACTAAGTGCATGAAATGTATGCAAATTAAAACAATACATTCTAACACAGAAGATACCATGCAGGCCTCATGAGCAAGGCAACCGATTCTGTTTTTAGTCATGAATCAATTAATCGTTGCACTCGGAATGTGCTACTGAATACTCACACTGTGGCTTATTTGCTCAATGGAACATGGGGTGGAGTGCTTATTTCTGATTTACTGCCCTGAGTCACTGGTGTAGGATTCCTATGACAGAGGCAAATCTATCCACAGGGAAGCCACTGGCGACGTCCCACAAAGTGGAACAATGAAAGACAATGCAAGGCTCGGTCAACCGCCGGGCAACATTGCAACTCAGAAACTTCTGATTGCGAAACAATGTAATCTCTCCACTTTGCCACATGCTGCTAACCTATTGTGACTGGCGTTGGTGCACGAGGCAGTCGGTGTGGCCTGAATCACACCGCGCGACTGTGCTCTGCCCAACACCGATCTACGTATGCTCCACTAGGTACTCATTGAAGGCATAACTCACCTATCGGGAGGTCTACTGTCTGATGTTTTTTTATGGCTAGAAATATAAATCCAGATCACTGCAGATTCTACCCGTGCACCAACCACAATGTCACAACGCCCCACCAAACATGCACACACACACACACAATGTGAGAAGTGTGTTTATTGTGCTGCAATATGTTTTATGTAAAAATCCTTTGGGGATAAAGTACTTTGTTCTAGCAGATTTAAAGAGCTCCTAAAGGATATTTACTGGATATATACCAAGTAAACTTACATGGGATTATTTAAGAATTTATAGTGGTGTATAATAGTTTTTTTTTATTTCTATATAAACCATGTAGGGCCCAAGAGGATTTCTGCTGCCTAACTATGCCGTAAAATAATTTATTTTAGAATTGTTCCATCCAGGCACGAGCAGCCATAATCCCTCTGTGGTTATGGAGCTTTGAGACTTTAAATCAGAGCAGCTGACATTTTCACCGACTCCAGGCTCCTCTTAAACAGAGAAAGAAGTGAGATCTAAAGACAACTTAAAATAAAACCCGGGCACTGCCTCTCACTAACCACCACTTGTATCTGCAAAAGCTTATTTGTGTTGGCAAGAAATTAGACTTCCCATTACTCCACCCTATATTAACAACATCTTTTCAGCCCAACACATCGTGAGATAGGATGCTGAACCGTCATTGCTGCAGGTGGAAAACGTGTACTACTAATACTTGAGCATATTAAACAATTCAAAGCAGATTTCTTTACTCGTTCATTGTTATTGCAAAATGCTTGACTGTTAGAGGCTAGCATGTGCCTTTGGTAAAGGTTGTACAAGCCAACTTGCTTTTTTTGCAAATTTAAGTCAACACATTCAAATTTAAGAGTATTAAATCCCTCGCCTTTCGCCCCCCTCCTCTTTGCTCTGAATAAAGGTCACACCATGGAAATTCAGCTCACTATATTTGCAATTTAAAAGCAAATTTTTATCCACATTCACTTTAGGGTTCCACCAAGTGGCGGTAGTTTTATGCCAAAGTTCTTGTCATTGGCCCTCCACCACCCGATACGATTGTCAAGTTGACAAAGATATTATTTTTCCAGTGCCAATGCATTGATCAGATCCTGACCTGATACAGCTTTCCAACATCAACGCGCGATGACATTTTGCTCCAACTGCTTGGAGGAGCTTCACTACAGATTCTACCTCACAGCAGTTTGAGCTTCTTCTTGAAGAAAAAAACAAGCCTACTTGCAAACTGGATACAAATATGTTCCCTTTTAGTATGACATTTCAAATGCATGCATTTAAGGAAGCAATAAGATACTTGTTTGAGAGAAATCAGCTGTACACGACGGATTCCATCCAATTAACAACGCGTGAATCGCAGCACACACGACGCAAGCACTGATCTCGTTGGGGAGAGAATTCCACGTTTAAAATGGAAAGTGATTTAACATTCTTGAACAATTGGAACAAGTCAAGTAATTTATCCGACTTCTTAGCCCCCCAGCGACTGTGCTTAAAGAACGTATGCAGCCCTTAAGGCACGTCTCATTTGTCCTGCAGTGCTTAGGCTTAAGTAACTCGGTGATGTGATATCGCATGAGAATGTAATTCGGGAAAGGATAAGGCCAACACTGAGAAATGTCGACGGATAAATGTGTTGTTTCATTTAGCAGACGTGGCATTCATTTGTTTAGCTCATTTGTGAATTACCAATTAAATAACAAATCTCGTGCGATTAAACTCTAAAAGTTGTATTATTTCGCTCTGCATCCCCTCTCGGCATGGTTTATGAGCCTGGGAATGTTTTCTTAAAATTCTAAACTGGAATAATCAAGTGTTTTAATCGCTTCCAAAACAGGGCAGTTCATAGTCAATTACACACCCCAGTAAAGTTTTGTTTAGCCTTTTCGGTCACTGTGAAAACATATTCCGTTTTTTACTTTAATTATTAAACCCAGTAAATGGCTATAGCAGTAATTGCACCATTTGAGAAAATCGCCGATCCATCTCAACAACGTTAACGTTGGTAAAGGAGGTGGTTCATCGCAGCTTCCTGCCTTGTGGAATTACCGTTAAACCGCAGCAGGCAATGTCTGAAAAAAAGTAAGCCAAGATTTGTGCAGAAAAAATATCTGACGCTACCAAATCCTATATCAAAATAATTTCCATTACGAATAGCCAATGTAGATTTTTTTTTCATTGCACCTCAATATGGAACTTCACCAAAAACATTGCTAGTATGTCAGTTAGGGCACGCACGTGCATGCACGCACACGCATACACACACAGGATGTATACATGTCATGGGAAACAGTAACATTTAAAGTAATGACAATGAGCCAAATTAAATATTCGGAAATAATTCTCTTATTTTTGTTACATTCTTACATTTCTTAATTTTGTCATATTCTTGAACACATGGAAAGCATGGACAACGCTATCGTGAAACTGGCACTACATTGGTCTTACACAAGGAAGGAGTACTCGCGATGAATTGTATTGGTGATGTACACAATTCTATAATTGCATTGGCATGTGTGGCACAACAAACCTCCAGCCCCCACCCTTCCCTTCCCCCTATTCCGTAGGGGCTCTCCAAATAAGAGAGCTTGTTTGGTTTGCCAGATTAGCGATATTTTTTATCTGTGGTCAGGGGATGTTGGAGGGTATTAGGGACAGGACCATGCTTTACAATTGATCATATATACCTTTGGTTTATAAAAAAAAATGTTAACAGACAAAGCGCCCTTTACACCTGGGTGTCTCAAGAGCACCTCACACGCGTTACCGGACTTGTATCACGACGCGTGTCGAACATTTCAAAGGGCACCCAAAGTGGGCAAGCTGTCCCTGTGGGCACAAGGCCACTCAGCCCCTTGCCGGAAAACGAGCAATACTCTAGCCAGTAGGCAGCGATGAGTGGCGTGTGTCATCACAATTTAACCGTTTGCTGGTCATTTTTCTAAGTTGCCACATGTGAGCCCTTCACGAGCGTTATCGTGCCGTGCCGCTCCTCTCAGCCCCCCCCCCCCCCCCCACTCGCCCAGAACCAAGCCAAGTGCCGAGAACGCCGACCGAGCCAGGCTTTGGAAACGCCGGGAACGCCGAGCCGGGCTTTGGGAATGCCGACCGAGCCGGGCACTGGTAACGCCCATCGAGCAGAGCGCCGGGAACGCCGATCGAGCCAAGCACTTCCCAGGAGGAGAGGCTCCCACCTTCTCGTAGACGAATCCGTGCTTCTCGGCGACGCCATTGCGGCTCAGCGTGTAGTTGTAGAAGCGCGAGTTCTTGATGAGGCCGAGCCACTCGCGCCAGCCCGGGGGCACGTACGTGCCGTTGTACTCGTTGAGGTACTTCCCAAAGAAGCCTGCGGGAAAACATTCGCACGCACGCACACAAAGACAAAGATCCCCCGGATAGCTTTAACAGACTGTCGTGGTAAGTGCTGTCAGCAAGCAGGACCAGCGAAGGTCAGCAAGGCACACGAGAGGGTGGGTGGCCAGCATCACGCCCGCCCGTCTCCCTCGTGGCGACATGTACACATGGTACCAGGTGCTCGCTTGAGGCCTAGTCGACCGAGGTGATGCCCAGGTCTGGTTTAGATAATCGTCACTGGTGAATGCCATGAGCGCAGCGGCCTAACAGCTACACTACCCGCTCCCCAAAAAGAAGTCTTCCGGAGCCATGCACACGCACACACACACACACACACACCGAATGATAGTGAACCGCATGCAACGGTCATCACCATCATCACCCATGACCAATCCACTGCTGGATAAAAGTCTCCCCCCACCATCTCTCACAATCCTATGATGTAATCCATCCAACGAGCACCTGCACACGGGCTGAATTGATTGCTCCATCTCCTCGGAAGACAAATGTTCACAGACGTGTGACACACACGATGAAGTAAGTCACTAAAATGCACGCAGCGGACAGACGCAGATGCACATCCCACTAGTCAGACCACATGATCAGACGCCCCGCATATTCCTTGGCAAACGAAAGGCGGATATTTTGCAACACAAAATCAGTCACTCGTTTGTAACGAGAAATCAACCTCAAGGCTACGCTCATGACCCACTGAGAAAAAAGGTCACCGCCTGACATTTTTAACTTATTATGTGTTTTTCACTTACAAAGAGGGTGTTATTGACGAGGCCACTCAAGTCTTCTCAGCCGAAGCAGAGACAAGTAAATATATCATCAGCTTCAACTGCTGCAGTGACACATTTTTGGGGTGAGAATGCTTATTTCTTAGCACACCTGGTCTTCCCACTCATCCATTATAACGAAGCCTGCGGGATTTAAACCTTCTTTAAAAAATATATATAATTACAGGAGTTATAAAAACAATTATAGTAATTATAATAGACCCCTATGTATTATACATTTTTGACATATGCTATTTTTGGACACCTGAGGTGACTTCTCATCCCGAGGGTGTAGTTAATGGGACGTTTATAATATTATAACGCTTCACGTGACGAGAAAAGTTAAATAATTTTCTTGTATTGTGCTTCGCGCTAAAATACAGCTCCCATGTTTATCTCAATATTCTTACGCTGGGGTGAGCGAGTATTGCTCCGATTACATTTGCGTTGACATATCTTAGGTACATGGCATCTTCGACAAAAAGCTTTGTAGACTTGCACACACATCTTCAAAGCAAACCGTGGACACAAGCGCACTGCAAAGTGTAAGCGCCGCTATGTCGTGTTATCCAGAACAGAGCGGCAGAGGTTCGTAATATTTGGGCGCAAAAAGTGTTAACTAAATTGGTCAAATCTTGTCCAGACTCCCCACAGACAACCGCCACTTTCTCACGCGGATCGCCAGTGGCCCTCCGCGCCTTAAAGGCGACAGACACTGCTGCCGCTGCTGCTGCCGCTACCGCAGAGATTCCTCGCGCGCAACGCTCAACGCGGACAGGGGAATGAGAAGACGCGAGGGAGCGCGGCTGCTCAAGCAGCTGTCGCCAGGGAAACCGTCGCCAGGGAAACCGTCACCTGGGAAACCGTCACCTGGGAAACGGTCACCTGGGAAACCGTCACCTGGGAAACCGTCACCTGGGAAACCGGGCGATTCGAAGAAATCTGCAGCCGCACAAATTGCCAACGCCGACCTCAAAAACGCTTCCTCCGCCACCATCAACGCCGGCCTAGAACGACTCAAAACGTGCGTGGCACCGCGTTGATAGTGGTGCGCACGAGCACAAATAACGCAAAACTCAAACTCATTCGTCAATAAAACTGCCCTGAAGATGGAAACAATAAATACGTATATATAATAAGCGGCGTTTGATGGAGATGCTTCTCTTTCACAGCCAACACACATCATTTTTTTTAATCTTAGCTTGCCGTCCTTCCCCCGTACCTCCGATTAGCACAGTTGGCTACGTACGGTGCGAAAGAAGTTCAACATACGTACATACACGCACTAATGGTTCATACGTACATACACGCAACGTATCTCCATTAGAGATGGGCAATTGCCCTTAACAGCACCTATTATGGCAAACACTCCACTATCCTGCACTTTACCACTCGGAATGCTCTATTAACCGGCATCTGTCATAGACGGTAATACAAGTCTTCCATTCACGCGTCCGGAAAAATGCCGACAGCCATCAGGGCATCTTGCCGTGCACTTCTCACAGATCTCAGTGATGGTGCTAGCGGCAGTCAGTACATGAAGTACTCTACCACTGTATACTGTACTCTAAACGGCCCCAACTGCTTCTCTACAAATCAACTTAGAACTGCTCCACACCTGCCCGGTGACTACCTCTCTGCAAAAAGAGTATATTAATTTTTGATATCACAGTTACAAAGTTGTCGCTCGTTTCTCTCTCGCAAAAGTTGCATGCACACACCTGGGAAAATGTGGTGACGCCACGACCCTCGGATAAACCGGCGTATTCCGATTGACCGCCATCCTCCATTTTCACCCATGGACGTCGGGACAACGAAGCTTTTGCTTGTGAATGTTTACCTCTTTGGGGCAGAGTTGGTTTCTTACGACAGCAATGCTGCTGTATATACACAGGATGCCCGCGCTTTGGTACACCGTGCCCTTACTCCTCTTGGTTATTTTCTACAACGGTTTTCTTGTTTTGTTGTTGTTCTCGCTTTGGAGACCATTTCTCTCCCCCCACCTACCCCCCCGCCCCCCCAAAGGTTGCTACTGAAACTTAAAATATCCGCAGAAAAACGTAGGATGATGACATGAACCGTCCTAGAGCGTCCCCTTGACATCGCCACGGGCACGTTTAGTTTACTTTACGGGTTTTCATTAGTATTCCCCGATTCCTCGCGCGGTGACAGCCGCCTGCCATTGCCGAACGTAAGAAAAGGGGGATATTTTTGTTTTAAATTTTGTTGTTATTAACACAAACATACGCAGGGGCACGATGGCCACTGAACGTTGACGTTACAAGCAGGGAGACCTCGACATTCTGCTTGGCTTGCAATGCGGGAGGACCGGCAAGCACATTAGCTCACCACAACGTCCGTCTCTGTCCGTCCGTCCGTCCGCTGGCGAGTGTTTTTGTTTTTCAGCTTGGTTTCGGTTTATTTTTTTTGAAAGAATTTTTTTTGTTTTACTTCCTCTGTACCGTGACCCTTCCGAATGCCGAGCAGGAATCGCATGCGGGCACGCGGGTCGGGAGTTTAGCCGTGGAACACAGTAGCGGTTGGTGGGTTTACAAAACACACGAGAGGCGAGTGGCAGATGCCTTTCCCCATTGTGTGGCTGCGGCCACTCTCCACACTCGGTCTGTCTTTCACTGGTGTTTGGTGATACATGTCACCATGTCTGTAGGTTGTCAACAAGTGTATATATATATACAATCCTACTACATAGTAGAATGCCACTGAATATCCATCTACTGGAAGAAAAAAAATCTCTGTAAACAGTTTGGTGTGGAAATGTTGAAGCGTTTGGTCGGTCAGAACATGATCCCTGTGAACAACATGGCATTTTATGTAATTTTTCTCATCTGGGCCAAGCCCTGGTGTGGCTTGGCATATGCAGCCTCAAAGTGGTTGATGATAATGATGATTGCAGTGACCCAAGTTGTAAAACATGCCCCCCCGAGCAGTAAGGAATAAACAAATGAATTGAAAAATGTATTGCCATTCTTGTGCTTAATAATGCCTCGTAGCTGTTTGGTTTAGCAGAATTCCATGTAAATATTGCAGGCAGGGACGGTTAATGCTATCAAAATACACAGCAGCATCACGTGATTATTATGCCCACAGTGTTCAACATTTAGTGGAGGTTATTCCCGCCCCCCAAAAAAAAACTGACGTGGATACTCATACGGTGGAGGGGAGAGAGGGTGGCATGTTAACTCCAGGAGCAATTTGCAAGTGTGGGAAATTTTCTCAACTTTCGGCAATACGCGTGAGCGCACGCATCTTAAACAACGTCTACTGCGTTGCGTCTCTCTGTTCGTCCGGTGACCGTGTACGGAGGCGGTTGTGGCGGCAACGCCGCGGCGCTCCGAACGAGACGTCGGGAAAAAAACACGCGCGTCTGCGGTGACGACCGCTGCTAGGTCGCCGCGGCTCTCGCGCGCCAACTTTGCATGTTGCATGGGAGGGGAGCGTTCGGCGTGCGGTGGGAACAGAATGGGAGGGTGGCGGTCGGGGTTTTATGGATTCTGAAAAAAGAAAACGGACGAGACCCCCCCCCTCCACCCCCGGCCCTGCCCCAGGAATGCAAGGGTGAAGCGTGCGGGCCGCTGTTACTGTGGGCACGGCAAAGACAGCGTGAGGGCCACGCGGAGAGAGAGAGAGCGAGAGAGCGAAGCGGCGCTGGAGTGAAATGGCACTAAACGGGCAATGAAGGGTCATTATGATCTCGGGTTTATTCGCTGTAAGCCTACGCCTCAATGGCTCAATGTGGAGCCGGGAGAAAGAGGCCGTCTAGTGTGGATTGTGTGGGGTTTTTGGTTATATAATAATAGGGGATACGATTTAAAAAATGCCGCCCGAAAATTACACCATTTAGAAGCAATTTGGAATAAAAAAATATGAAATACGCCATCCCGCATATTAAATATGTTTACGCTCCGTGTAACTCAAGAGAAAGTGGAGTGGGCATTCGCTGGACCCATCATGCACCGTGGCTAGGAGGGTCGATGAACCATGGATCAGACTGGTGGTGGAATAGCAGCCAAAGGGCAAAACACGCACCAAGAGGATGATAACCAACAGAGATGGAGAGATGAGATGTGGAGGAATGAAGTAGCATAGCAGGATCACGATGGATGGCAGCAGTGTGGGGGGAGCCTTGGTGCAGCAGTGGAAAGACCATGTCTGACTGACAACGCTTTAATAATACAGCCCGGTGGCACTGTGGAAGAGTGTTCGTCTCACAATCTGAACCCTGCAAACTCAAAACACTCGGTCGAGGGTTAATTCAGCTAATCACATATCATGGGGTCAATACAAATTAGCAGTCCTGTGTAAGAAATCAACGATGGCAATCTTAAGGAGATAATGGTCAGGGCTCTAGGAATGTGGAAATTACACCCCTGGCTCTGTGTTTAGGGCACATTAAGAGTTAACGATGAATCAATTCATTAATTAATTTAGACTCTGAGCTTGCGATATATTTAGCTAATAGCTGGTAAATAAATACATTGTATTGATAGGCATGTGTCTTTTCTACACAATCGCCAAGCACAGGACCAGCGGCCCAAAGTCAAGCGGCCAACAACAAACAGCACTGTCAAAGTTGTAATAAATAACTATCATGGTGGCAAGATGTCAAATACCTCGCCTGGTATACAGGAGGTCGTGGGTTCAATCCTGACCCTGACGCCTGCTGCTATATATCTGTAGCTTGCATGTTCTCCCCGTGGTCGCGTTGATTTTTTACTGGGTCCTCCGGTTTTTCCCTCCACATTTAGAAACAACGTTCGTTTAGAGTATTTGGCTGCTATAAATTTCCACGCGATAGGCCACTTCGTTGTGGCCAAGGTGGCTTCTGAAAAAGAGCTATATTGCTCCGTGGGCCTTAGCTGGTAAAATAAAAAAAATGGTTTCGTTTCAGTTTCGTGTAAGAGTGTAACACTTGGATTGAGCGAGGTTATAAGAGCTTGGGAAAAGAGGCAAATCGGAGGGAATTCAATACAATCCCTGTGATCCGTTCGTGACTGTGGGAAATATTCACTGCAAAGTCAAAGGATGGATAATTTTGAGAGTTCATTAAATTGCTGAGAGAGAATGAATCGTCCCACCCCGACGGCGCATTATCAGCGATGCCGCTGCCAGGGCAAGAGCTGGCAGCCTCGGCCAATGGAGAAGGCTGACCCGACCTCACGTGACCTCAACAAGACGACCGATAGTTGCCGGTTAATGAATAGCGGTCAAAATGCAGCACGCTTCAGGACAGTGCCGGGCCCAACTATTCAAATCGTGAACAGATCGAAGACAAATCGCTAAAGCACAGTTGATGTCACCTAATTGTATCGAACCTTGGCAGATCTCATAAGCTAAGCCGGTTTGAGCCTGCTGAGTATGTGGCTCGGATGCTGACGGGAAATGGCAGGTTTCCGTCAGGCTAGGGTGTTTGTCAGGCACGGCGGCCAGGATGTGGCAGTATTACAATGGATTCATGAATCCGTCTGTGTGCAGCTTTGTGTGTTACCCACTTGCATGCATGCACTTTCCCTGGCTACCGTTTATTTTTCGTCCACACAGCGCCCCTTGTTAATCGAATTGCAGGACCATCTTCAACAAGTCTTGGGACTCGGTGTGGCTTTTTAGAGCGATTGAAAGCCATAATGATTATAATTATTACGAGTCAATAAAGTAAGATAGTTTCATCTGCCTCACATTGCTCATGCATTACATGATTGCAGTTGATTGGCTGCAGGGGCTCACCGAGCCCATAATTATATAATAAGAAGCAGAATATTTATTTACACTGGAGCAATCTGATGAGCTATGAAGTTATTTTTCACAGATGTCCAGTAGGGGTGGGTCAGAACGTAACAACAACAACACAAAAACACGATAGGAGTACCAAGTAAATACAAATAAAACCAAACTATGTTTTATCTTATCAGGCAAAGCCCGCTGAGCTATTTGGCTTCTTTTTCAGAAGCGAGTGGCTACAAATGATAGCTCAACGAAGTGGCTTAACACGTGGGAATTGATAGCAGCCAAATAATCTAAATGCTTGTTTGTATGTTGAGTGAGTGTGCATCCCAAATCATTATCGTTATCATCGTTACATGCGAGCAGATTCACCATCAACAGTAGTTACTACCTCCTTGGGCTTCACACTCACACACACACATATATACACGTTAAATACGTTGTTGTGGTATGTCCTTATGCATGTGTAATTGCCCTTCAACTCTGAGTTACACTCTAAAACTGTTTCCATTGAAAGGTACACTTCATATTGGGTCATGAGATTCATTACTAATTCCCAACACGAAATATGCAAGAAAGGAATAAAAACCCCTCCATAAAATTTAAAGTTTGATCCAAACATCAATGAGCTAAGGTTGGTTCAATGGTATGCAGATCGGGCCATGATGTGCATTACAACCATATTTGCATAAAAAAAAAACATAATTAGCGCAAGCATGAGACAGTACAGCAAATAGGTTTCTGACCAATCTGTGCAGCACAATATGCGTGGGAGTTCAATAAAGATTCAGATTCCTCTCAACGCTCGACGCTGAGCGAGTGCTCTTACTTTTGTTCTTTGTCTCTCATCTTTCCCCTCCCCGCTGATATAAAAACGCACGCTCCCCTCTCATGGGATCCCCCCCACCTGGGTGGGGCGGGGGTGGAGCCCAATTCTTCCCCCTCCTTTCAAACCCAGGAGCCCCGAGTTCAGGACCTTTTGTCCGGTTTATGGCCTGTACTGGGATCATGCTGAATTACAATAACAAATTTGTGTTATTCTTATCATTTGTGCACCGCTGCTGCTTCAACAAATACATTCTACCCAATTATTCGCTGACATGGCTAGGCTTTTGGGAATCAATTATTTATTTTATCCGTCTTTCCCTCCAGACCCAACTGATGAAGCACGCGCCTGCAAGCCCCTCGCTCCTCCCTCTCGATCGCTGCCACATGACGTGCAAATTAATAATGACCCCCCCTACCCCCTCACCCCCCCCCCCCACTAGCCCCCAATTTCAATAACTTGTTGCGGTTCATGGTCACGTTTCTTTGAAAATAATCACGGCGAGCGGGCAATGCCCCGAATGGTTGTTGGGGTGATGCGAACCCATTAAATCTCGATGGAGAATGATCGGCAAACAGACAGAAACACGCGTTATTTTATGCATGCACCGTGCACTTAATGGGATGCTGCTGGACATGCAATCCAGCGGGGGTCGCCGGTTCCATTCGATATCCCACCATGGAACTCGAAACAATGGACATGTTTCACAAATACTCTATCCAACCGGCGGTATAAATGGGTACACTCCAGTAAGTGGGTAGGCAGGTCACGTGTGGTAGGGTAAAGTGTGGGTACATCCAACTCTTCCAAGCAGCCTCTCCAGCGAGGAGGAGTAGGCCAAAACACCTTCTCGAGTGGCTCTCTTAAATGCACTCTAGTGGAGGCACTTCCGTCAGCAGTGGCATGAGCAAGCACTTGCAGGGGCTGCATCCCTAACCTTGTTTTACCTACACTCATCGGAACAAAAACGTCAATTATCACTTCCACTGCCCTCTGACGCAAGCAATTGACGGAACGCCGAAGCACCACTTTACCCTGACCGCACACAAACGGATAGACGCACGCACGAGGGAAGGAATCAACGGGGGGGGGGCGGACAGTTTTTTTTTGTTGGGCGCACCTGTGCGGTAGCCGGTGCCGCCGAGGTGAGCGGCGAATGTGTGGGGCTCGTGGGTGGCCTGCCAGAAGGGCGACGAGCAGTTCTCGTTGTTGGTGTACACGTGGTGGTTGTGCGTGTATTTCCCCGTCAGGATGGAGGAGCGCGATGGGCAGCACATGGGCGTGGTGACGAACGCGTTGGTGAAGTGGGCGCCGCCCTGCTCCAGGATGCGCCTCGTCTTGTTCATCACTTGCATCGAGCCTGCGCTCGCGCACAGACACCACACACGTACAAAGACGCTCTGTTCAGCTCCTCTGATGTTGTAAGGCCGCACTCGTTACACACAGAGTGTGCTTGCCACAAAACGAACCGCAATACCTTGCCGATCTCGTCGAGGAACATAAACAATCACGTGAACTCCGGTCATCCTCGCTGCAGAGGCTTTTGCCTCGCCATCGAACAAAGACGGTCAACCGCATCGCGCGCTTTCAGATGCGCCGCTGCGGCCGCGTGGAACGCTCTTCCGTCTGACATTAGGAAGCCACAGGAGTTATGTAGTGCTAAATCATCGAAATTGAAAACTCAATTCTTGAGAATTGCTTTTAGTGTTTAGTTTGTGGTCCTTCCCCCACATTCACAGAACCCCTCTGTTTAGCCTTTTCTCACTGCCAAAGCAAAGAGGCAGTTGGTCATCTCCACTTTACAGCCTTTGTGCAAATTCCACACTGATCTGGCGGGGTTAATAACGTATTATCATACACATATAATCATTCTGATATCAAACTTATAATTAGCTTTCACCATACCACGCAAAGGCAACAGCAGTTTATTCTGCTGTCAATGCAATCAAATTATGTGTTATTATTAATCGATGTTCATGAACCGACGCATTGTTGTGCAGTATGTATGTACAACTTTTTTCGTGCCATATGTAGCCAACTGTGCTAATCGGAGGTGCGGGGGTGGTACAGCAAACTAATCACAGACACCGCATGAAGCTATAGAAATCCCCTGCAGTGTGTGTAGGTAACAATGCAGTGGGTCGTGGGGTACATGCTAATTCTCTTGATCGCATTTGGATGATCACTCCTATAACAATCATTGGTGGAAACAGCCAAAAAAAATTATTATCAGTAGATCCTCCTGTCTGTTGTATCATCAATCAATCATCATCGTGGATAAGCGAATTATCTTCATTGACAGCGGGGGAGATGTATTGCTCTTTCTCCTGCTGCACAATTTTGTTATCCTGCGCATCCAAGCTTAGCCAACTGCTCGAGTCCACACTGCATTTTCACACCAAGAAGTTAACTGAAAAATCTTCCGATGATTCACGTTGCGATATGTCATACGTTAGGTCATACCTTATGTCAAATGTTGTCCTTGCCCCGCACCTCCAATTAGTACGCTTGGCTACCAAGGAGTTAACTGAAAAATCTTCCGATGATTCACGTTGCTACCAACAAGAGCCATTGCCCGAAATGTCACACGTTAAGTCATACCTTAAGTCATATGTTGTCCTTCCCCTGCACCTCCGATTAGCACGGTTGTTTACGTACGGTGCGAAAGAAGTTCAACATACATATGTACATATTTATCCTATTTAGGGGGACGAGGGAAGGAACAACAAACTAAACACAGAGCAGTTCTGAAGAAATTAGTTTTCAATCTAAATGCTTTAAAAGTGCAGAGCTTCAGTGGCTTCCTAATGACAGTAACGAACGTGCAGAGATGCCCCCCCGCCCCCCCCCCGAATTCAAGGACTCATGATGGGCCCGTCCGCTACGGCAAAACCGGGGTGGCCGTTCAATCTGCCAACGTTTCTTGCCTAGTTCAACGTCCTGGTCGTCGGTGAGGATGAGCACGATGTTCGGCCGGATGTTGCGTCGGTCTCGCTGAAGCTTGCCCCGTCCTCCGGCCGCCGGCGCCGCCGCCGCGGCTGAGCGCGCGCCGCTCGCCCCGTCGGCCACCAGCGCCGCGGTCAGCGCCAGCAGCAGCAGCACCAGCAGCTGCTGCTGGCGCCGCTGACGAGGCTGCGGTGGCACCGCCATGCCCTCGATGGCGCGGAGCGTCGCTGCGGGAGTTCTGGGGGGGGTGGGCTTGGGGTCGTCGTCTCGGGGAGTGGCGCTTTGCGTTGGTTACGGCCGTGCGAGCGGTCGCATGCTCCTCCGCGCCGGTCAGGGGCCTTCCGCTGCAGACGCCTGCTGTGGGACAGAACGACGCAGAGGGGGCGTTGAGGCAGCGTTAGTTTTGGTGTGGGGTAGTGCCCCGGCCACTTCGCAAGTGTATCGCAAGTTATGTTTAATGGCAATTATTATGGTCAAAGTGGTTTTCCTGCTGAAACTCAGAATCAGAATCTTTACTTATCCTGGAGGAATCTGATTAAGCTATGTAGCTCTTTTTCAGAGATGTCCCATCGGGGTGCCACGGTGGTGAGATGTTATCTACCTCGCCTGGTATACATGAGGTCGTGGATACGATCCAGACCATGACGCCTGCTGTATATTTGGAGGTAGCATGTTCTCCCGTGATTGCGTGGATTTTTCTCCGGGCCCTCCGGTTTTTCCCTCCACATTTAGAATCAACATGCGCTGAGAGTTTTTGGCTGCTATAAATGTCCACATATAACAATAGTAATTTACATTTATTTGTAAGCCACTTCGTTGAGTTATCATTTGTGGCCAGGTCGCTTAGTTTCGGTGGAGGGTCAGCACGTTACTACAAAAAACTATACAACACACAATATAAGAAAGGGGAAAGGTAAGAAAGTCACTTAATAAATATCAATAAAGTATCGAAGCACACATTGCATAAGTTCACGAAATTTCTGCCAAACGGGGAGATATTTTTCTTCTTCTTTACAGCTCTGAGCACGCAAGGGGAATTTTACATTTCATGCCAGGGGTGAGTCTATCCATATGACGGCTCCTGTTGATGATTTTACGAGGAAAACATTGTTGGAAAAGCTTTCTGGTTAAGAGCATATTAAATCATTATAGCTCTAATTTACGAGCATTCGCTATACAAATTCCAATAAAACTTAAGTTTAAACAATGTCTTACAAGAAAGTAAAGTCACTACCTATAGTTATATTATATATACGAATAAGTCGTACATTTCTGCAAGGGCATATAAAGTTCAAGGTGATATGCGCGAACTTTATTGCATTTAACAATGTTACAGTATCAACTGACTCAGATCTATTATTAAATACAGTGACCATGATATATTATGGTGTACAAATATATTTCGTTCATGAATTCACACGTGTGCACACATACATGCATGTCGCACAAAATCAGTACACAGTTCATGCCGGTGCACGTGCGCTCAAGAATGCAGACTGATGTTTTTTCTTACATCGTCCGCAACATTTAAAATCATCCGTACATTCATTTTACATTTTTTACGACGCATCAAAGTTAAATAACGCACAAATCACGAAACAATACGTTGATTTACAGGAGAAAAAAAATGCGCGTAAATCTAAAACCGACCTGTGTGTTTCCGAGCGGAAGCTGCTGAGGAGTGAAAGGGAGCGGCGCTCTTTGCGAAAACGCGAGCGAACAAGCGAGCCCAAGAAAAAGACACTTGGCGATTCCCACACGGATCGAGAGCGTGTACCCCCGCGCGCGTGCGTCGGAGCCCACCGATGACATCAGTTACGGAACGCGTGGGTGAGTGAGCGAGCGAGCAAGGGAGTGAGCTTGGTGGTGGGGGGGGGGGTGGTGTGAGACAGCCCACCAGGCCCACGCCCTCCCCCACATCGCACGGGGGAGAGGGGGGGATGAATCACCCAGGCCGGCCGGACGCGCTCATTGATAAGTTGTGACGTCCGATGGGGCCGTGCATTTATACTACGCGAGATCGCAACGTTACCCAAGTCGATCGTCTGCGACAGCACTGTCCCGAAACGCTCCGTGGAGAGTTGTAAAAAAGAAAAATCCATCAAAGTCAATAGAAATCAATGTTTAAACACTGGGCGGTGGTGGTTTTTTTCCATCTTTGATGATAGCCTTGAGCCAAAGGTGAAAAATTCACCATTCCTGACCAAGGTCTCTCGAACGGGAGACGAGGCGACACCAGCCTCTCCCACCGCCACCGCCTCTCCCACCCTCACCGCCTCTCCCACCCCCTCACCGCCTCTCCCACCCTCACCGCCTCTCCCACCCCCTCACCGCCTCTCCCACCCCCTCACCGCCTCTCCCACCCCCTCACCGCCTCTCCCACTCCCACCGCCTCTCCCACCCTCACCGCCTCTCCCACCCTCACCGCCTCTCCCACCCTCACCGCCTCTCCCACCCTCACCGCCTCTCCCACCGCCCCCTCTCCCACCCTCACCGCCTCTCCCACCCTCACCGCCTCTCCCACCCTCACCGCCTCTCCCACCCTCACCGCCTCTCCCACCCTCACCGCCTCTCCCACCCCCACCGCCTCTCCCACCCCCACCCCGCCTCTCCCACCCTCACCGCCTCTCCCACCCTCACCGCCTCTCCCACCCTCACCGCCTCTCCCACCCTCACCGCCTCTCCCACCCCACCCTCACCGCCTCTCCACCCTCACCGCCTCTCCCACCCTCACCGCCTCTCCCACCCTCACCGCCTCTCCCACCCTCACCGCCTCTCCCACCCTCACCGCCTCTCCCACCTCACCGCCTCCCCACCCGCACCGCCTCTCCCACCCTCACCGCCTCTCCCACCCCTCACCGCCTCTCCCACCCTCACCGCCTCTCCCACCCTCACCGCCTCATCCCACCCTCACCGCCTCTCCCACCGCCACCGCCTCTCCCACCCCCACCGCCTGCTCCCACCCCTCACCGCCTCTCCCACCCCTCACCGCCTCTCCCACCCCCTCACCGCCTCTCCCACCCTCACCCGCCTCTCCCACCCTCACCGCCTCTCCCACCCCCACCGCCTCTCCCACCCTCCACCGCTCTCCCACCCCCACCGCCTCTCCCACCCCCACCGCCTCTCCCCACCCTCACCGCCTCTCCCACCCTCACCCGCCTCTCCCACCCTCCACCGCCTCTCCCACCCTCACCGCCTCTCCCACCCCCACCGCCTCTCCCACCCTCACCGCCTCTCCCACCCTCACCGCCTCTCCCACTGCCACCACCTCTCCCACCCTCACCGCCTCTCCCACCCCCACCGCCTCTCCCACCCTCACCGCCTCTCCCACCCTCACCGCCTCTCCCACTGCCACCACCTCTCCCACCCTCACCGCCTCTCCCACTCCCACCGCCTCTCCCACCCTCACCGCCTCTCCCACTGCCACCGCCTCTCCCACCGCCACCGCCTCTCCCACCCTCACCGCCTCTCCCACCGCCACCGCCTCTCCCACCGCCACCGCCTCTCCCACCGCCACCGCCTCTCCCACCGCCACCGCCTCTCCCACCGCCACCGCCTCTCCCACCCTCACCGCCTCTCCCACCCTCACCGCCTCTCCCACCGCCACCGCCTCTCCCACCCTCACCGCCTCTCCCACCCTCACCGCCTCTCCCACTCCCACCGCCTCTCCCACCCTCACCGGCTCTCCCACCCCCACCGCCTCTCCCACCCTCACTGCCTCTCTCACTCTCACTGCGCTGTGCATCGGCGGCGGGTCGAAACATTGTCAGAATCTGAAGACTCCCGTTGATCTTTAATGTATTCTCCCGCACCTCTGAATGCCCTCTATTAAGTTCAATCTGTGCACGTTTATAAATTGTATCAATGACTGAATGAATCAAGACCACACGTCACTGCGACAGCCGTTAACTTACCACAATGTGGTACTCGTTTTACCAGCCCCCAGAGGGGTTTGTTGGGCTGAGTTTACCACAATGTGGATTTGCACTAAACTTAAACTATTTTGTATTTCATCAGCAAAGGCCCATTGAGCTATGTAGCTCTTTTTCAGAAGCGACCTGGCCACAAATAATAGCCCAACGAAGTGGCTTATCACTTGGAAATGTATAGCAGCCAAAATACTCTAAATGCACGTTGATTCTCAATGTGGAGGGAAAAACCGGAGGACCCGGAGAAAAATCCACGCGACCACGGGGAGAACATGCAGCAAGCTTCAAAGTCGAGATCGAACCCACAACCTCCTGTATACCAGGCGAAGTAGTTGACACCTTGCCACTGTGGGGCATCGCTGGAATTGAGCTTGGGGGTGTTGTCATCGTGAGTGCTGTGTCACATCGCCACCCAACTAATTTGGTTAAAGTTAAAGAAAGAAAGTCAACGTCTTCAACATTTAATTAATTCAGAATTATTAAATAACGTCCATTCGAGGCGTCAATAGATATTTGTTTTATACACACACACATATATATATAATGATGCATTGTAAAACATAATAGACCACAGACGTTTTAAAAACAAAGGTTTACGTCACTCATCATTGGGAGCACATCCAGCCGCTGACTGGAAGATCTGGGTTTAACTCCTGGGGCGGTCGCTCTCTTTCCAAATCCAACGCGCTGCCTCACCGACTTGTCGAGCGATATTAATTGTGAAGTGCGGTAAGAGCGTTGGCTCGGCCACCGAGTGGGTTTTTTTTTTATCCTTTGATATCTATCCACACACACGGAATACAAAGATCCCCTGTGCAGCCTCCAACAGACTGTTGGAGCAGGTGCTGTTCGTGAGAACCGATGACGGCGGGTACGGAGCATCAACTTCGAGGGAGTGGTGTGGTCAACAAGACAACTATCTGACCACCTTCGCCTCTTCAGTGCTGATATTGACATACCGGATCAGGCACTTGATTAAGGCTGCATCGACTCAGTAGAGACCCAGACCCTGTTAAGATGTTCGTCACCGATGTTGGCCAAAATGGGGAATCAAACTCGGGTCACTGGGTGCATAGTGCAGTATGCAAACCATTACACTACCATTCCTCAGAAATACGTAGCCACACACACACACGTTCACAAGCACGTATACGAACACACGTACAGGGCTATGTAACAGGCCAACTATGCTGCTACGGCATAATGATTGTGGGGGGTGTGCGCACGTCTCGTTATGGAACTGTGGTGGAGGGAAAAAACAAACAGAAGCACATTCTGTTTTGTACATCAATGTCACGGACCTGTTCGGGAGACTCCCGACAGCACGGAACACGAAGCGTACAGAAAGAACCCCGTATGCCACCATAACGCCGCAGCGCTACAATAACGCGTCTCTTTAATCAGAGCCAGCCCCGGCGCAGAGCGCAT